CACGAAACAGATTTGACTGTGTTTTTTTTTCTTCTGTTTTTATAGTAAACCCATTAAGAGAGCCAAACAAGTCATGGCTCGGGTTTGGACTCGCCAATCGAGTGCTCCTTGCCCGATGCATATGACTGGCTGTAGAAAAGCAAAAGTTTTTTCATTTTATTTGCGAAGCATACTAAAACGATAAAACATAGTCATCTATTTGAATGCTGATGGCTGCTGCCAGATAATTTGAAACCAGTTTTATGGCTGCCATCTCTCCCATCAGTTCGAGCAGATTATGCACGTGTCTTGGCCACGCATTGTTGGCAGAATTGTTTTACCATTTGCACCTAAGCTAACAAGTTCTTGGCCAAAGACAGCGGGAGAACATGTCGCTGACCAGTCGCTGATCACAGGAGTACCCTTCTCATTGGTGTTCTATTAATAAAGTTAAATATAGGCAGGCTTAAGTATCTGCAGGAATACCCTTCTTATTGCTGTTCTATTAACAAAGATACTTCAAGGCAGACTTATGTATCTGCAGGAATACCCTTCGTATTCCTGTTCTATTAATAAAGTTACATATAGACCGGCTTATATATCTGCAGGAATACCCTTCTTATTTCAGTTCTATTAGCAAAGATACTTATAGCCAGGCTTATATATCTGCAGGAATACCCTTCTTATTGCTGTTCTACTAACAAAGATACTTATAGGCAGTCTAAATATCTGCAGGAATACCCTTCTTATTTCAGTTCTATTAACAAAGATTCGTATAGCCAGGCTAATGTAACTGCTACGTTTTGGCAGCCCCATTAAATTGTTGAGGAACTATTCAATGACTCAATATACTTGCATTGAGTACTTGTAAGAGTCACTTTACTCACGAGGAACTCGGCTGACAGCGTCCGATTAATACTGTCTGCAGTTGTCGGAGGTCTGTCGCAGTTCTGACTTGTAAAGACATGACGATTAACATAAATCACGTCAGATGGCCACTGAGAATGGCAATAAAACTTATTCTATATAGTATTGCTAAGACGACTAGAACAGGTTGCGCCATTTCAGGGTCAATGGTGCGATTAGTATTATCTCCTTTTAATAAATTATATACTTGAGCCTATTCGTTGCTTGTAATCTTATGCCCAATCATATGTAATCCCCGTTAACTGGGCTATTCACATACAAATTTGACCAAAAGATTGCTCCGTATGGCTTCTTGATAGAACTACAAATTCTTGAATTGGAATCCCAACAAATTCTAAGGAGCTTCGCAAGACCAATTGGAACATGTTCGTGTGTCCAAAATTTTATACAATATCATTTTTGATATGCAAATTTTAATTGTATTCATATTTATTTATTTATTTTTTTTTTAAGTTCTTTCGTGTTCTTTTTCTTTTTTGCTTTATTCAATACTCAGTTTTCATTTTTGCGTGTCGCACACGCTGCCTTTTTATGCATAATTAATCGTGTCTTAATTAACTTAATGAGGTTATTTATATGTACTCGACGAAACCAAAAACTTATATCTAACGTATATATATTCTGTCTATAATTTTACAGGCGCTTTTTTGCTGCTGGCCATAGGATTTTTGGCTATAACAGCGGCGGTGCTGGTTAAAGTATTCCAACCCTACGATTTGATATTCAAATGGGTGAGTCCAATAAACAGAAACTAAAGCTTTTTAACTGCCGTCCTTAGCCTTTGCCAAATGATCGACAATTATGCGTTTAACGCAAATCGCCTTCAATATTGGCACGTACATAGTTTTCGTCTACGATTCATACAATAAATGCAATCCGTTTTAGGCGCCTGCAATTTGGCCCGCCATTGAACGCACACCATATTTATGTTAGAAATTCGACTTGATTCTTTCAGAAATTGATAATGGCCGACAATGGTGAAATCTTCAATCTTTGGGCCAAGCCACCAGTCGATTTGTATATCAAAATATATTTATTCAATATAACCAATGCTGAGGCCTTTCTTGCGGGACGCGAAAAGCTCCAAGTGGAGCAGGTGGGTCCCTACGTCTACAAGTAAGTGCCACAAAAATAAAAAAAAAAAAAATATTCAATTTTCAATTATTTATTAACGCAATTATTCGTTACGTTTACGTGCTACAGAGAGCTCATGACGCATGAGAATATCACATTTAATGACAACAACACCATGTCCACGACACCGAGTCATCCATTGGTCTGGCAGGAGCATCTATCCGAGGGTCGTCGCGAGGACGACGAAGTCATAATGCTCAACATAGCTATGCTGGTGAGTACGGGAAACGGAAAAGTATATTTTTCTCTATAAATACAAATGTATATAGGAGAGAAGAACCAACAAAGGTTCGTAGGTTAAAAAACAATAAAACTTACAAAACGCGTTCAATAAAATATTTACAATGCTAATTGCAATCAAGAAACTTGAAGGAAATACCTATTTAAAAAAAACAACAAAAAAATATATATATGTATAAAGCTAATTGGTTTCGTTCCATTCCTAACTTTTCCAATTACAATTAACTGTTCTTCGAACTTTGGTATGATGCAATCTGATGACAGATTATTGTCTATTGACTTATCTCTACACAAGTCTACAACATATAATCAATGGTAATTTGTCAGCAGCTGCACGACGCGACGCGTCGCATTTCATGCTAATGTTTGGCGGAAAATAACTACATATTAAACCGTTAGTTTGCCAACTACAACAATAACAATAATAAAAATCGCGTGCCGCGCACATGACGAAAACAGAAATTATATTGAAAACAAAAAAGAGAGAAAAAAAAGTCATTTAAGCTGTGAAATGCAAACAACAACAACAACAATAACAGCAGGCGAAGCTCACGTTTAGGTCAATAAACGTTACATTTAAGCAGCAGCAACAACAACAACAACAAGAACAACAGCGACAACAACCGCAGCAATAACAACAACAACGAAAACAACGAGAGCGATAATATTTTAAAATGGCGTCAAAAATTGCCAACATATTTAACTAAATGGTTGGCAATTAATTTCCCCTGTTCGACTGTGGGAGTGTGTGAAAGGGACAGCAGACGCGTGTGTAAGTAAGCGTGTGAATAAGTGAGCTGCGGTTTGTGGGCGTCGTGCGCACCGTTATCGTAACCGCTACCGTTATTTATTATACGTATACCTGTCTCGTTCGCACACTTTAATATCATCGAAAGTTATGTTTGTCATTATTTGTGCTCTTTTAACGTACATACATACATATGTATGTATATCAATAATTGCCGCTATCTGTGGGCGTGTTTGTTATTGTCAGCAATTTTCACTGATTAATGAGGATATCGTATTTGAAAATCGTAAACAAATCAAAACAGCTAAACGTACATTCGATAAATGTATGCACATCTAGCTATAATTAATTGTTGACTTTATGATGTTCAATTAAAAGTATTTAAAATTAGCATAGCTGCAGTTGTTTAATTTATGCCAAACAGTGCGACGCGTACAAAAAGTGAAAATGCCAATTTCCAGATTACGTAACGTTATGCCAATCAATCGAATAAGAAGCAGAAGAAGCATAACGTTATGAACAAGAACACGCGCTCAGCATTTTGGTTCGATTTCGTGTAGCAATCGGATGCAATATAGGCCCAAATTGATGAATAATGCATTGGGCCAAGTCTGTCAAGAGTGTCTGTCAGTCTATTGAGCTAACTAGCAGTTACTGATATTACTCGCTGCACAGGAAGTCAATAATTATTGTTCATTAAATGCTATATTTAGCGACTATAACTATAGGCAACAGTAATGAGCCGTTGATAGACTGGTTCTCGAGCACGCAGTGATGTGATATATCCTAACAGCCTGTCAAGTATTGACTTAATCCTTTAATTTGAGCAACAATGTATGAGCACACTTATTGATCTAATTAAATCTCTTTTTATTCGTGTCTTCCAGGCTATTTCCCATTTAACTGCCGATCGTAATTATTTTTTCGTGCGCTTGCCACTGCAAGGACTCTTTGCCAGCACGAAATCGGAGCCCATTGTCCGAATGACTGCCAAGGAGTTCATGTTCGGCTATCCCTCGGCGCTGGCCACACTGGGCAACACGCTTTTGCCCAACTGGATATCGTTCGAGAAGGTCGGACTGATCGATCGCATGTATGACTTCTCATCCGACTTTGAGACGTTCTATACGGGCGTGCCAGATGCGGCCGTATCGGGCCTGTATGCCACATATCGTGGAGAGACCCGACTGCCCAATTGGGAGACCGACCATTGCAACAACATTGAGTATGCCTCCGATGGTACCAAGTTCAGAAGTTTCATACAACCCAACGATACAGTAAAGTTCTTCAGAAAGAGTATGTGCAGGCCCATTAACTTGGTAAGGATTACTTATTTAACAGCCTGATAATAATCGTTTGATTATAATCCTCTCTATTCCAGTATCGAGATGGTGAGGAGCGCACTTTCGGTAGCCTGAAGGGCTATAACTATGTGTTCGAGGAGAATGCCTTCGACAATGGTGCCATAAATGAGGCCAACAAATGTTTCTGCCGCAGAGGTAAGTGAGCTAAATGAGTTAAATCAGTTGAATCAGTTGAATCAGTGGAATCGGTTGAATCGGTTGAATCAGTTGAATCGGTTGAATCGGTTAAATCAGTTGGGTTAGCAACAATATTTCAATGGACCACATTTCAGTTTAATTGCCCTTACAATTAAATAAGTTTCTGGAACTTTACTAATATCACTTTAATGCATTTATTTAATATAAATTCTGTTGTGTCTTGAATTATATCAATCGACCTAAGTCTCATTCTTTACGATCGGCGTCAGTTCATTTAATTGCCCAGTACAAAGCGCAAAAAATTCTTGTTTTTAAGCGTACCCCCCCGCTTGCGTTCTCTAATTGATATCCCCCTCGCATTATTCCGTTTATCAGTTGACATGGAATATTTTTCAAGTGTACGCGATCTTATGCTGTTCACTGAGTCTCCAAAATACTCCAGGGTATTTAAGCTGTGACGCGTTTCACATGCTGCAAAACAACAACTGTAATGATATTAATGAAAGTAACAACAGAAAACAGTACGTCAGAACTTGAGACACGCAATAATGTTACGTAACGTAACGTTCAGACGTAACAGTTGTTCCGTTCGTGTAGCCTCGAAAGTAACAAAAACAAACACACACGCACAAACTAATGTTGTTATTTACATTTCTTCTTCTTCTTCTTGTTCTGCGTGCAGGCGATTGCCAGCCGGTCGGCCTGATTGACGTCACGGACTGTTATTATGGTTTCCCCATCTCTCTAAGCTTTCCACATTTCATGAATGGCGATGTTGGCCTAGTGGAGAACATTACCGGCATGCAGCCAGATCCTGAAAAGCATTCTTCAGCCTTTGTCATCCAACCGGTAAGTAACCTTGGAGTCTCCACAACTTGTTGCCTTGTTGTTGATGTTGCATTAATAGCGGCAACTTTCAATTTTGCAACTGTCAATCATGATTCGTAGAAATCGTATCTGAAAAAAAAAAAAGATTAACAAAATGTACTAAAATATAGGCAATATTTAATTAAAATTCACATTGAGTGTTACAATTAACCTGTACTAAATATTTGAGTTAATCATGCTAAAGTTGTTAGTATTTTTGTTGTTGCCGCTGTCACCTGTTTTTTTTTTTTTGCGCTTACCTTCCCACTGATTGAAATCGCGTGGAAGCTAATTGTTTATTATTGAAATTTATATTAGTTGATTTTTTCAAAACTTACACTTCCGGCTAATTAAGTTTACCGTAAATACGGCTAGTCACGACTAGGCAGATTTTCTTAAAGGCGAAATAAATTTATGTATAACAGGAAGCTAATAAGATTCTAAGTGCGCGTCAGATTAACTAACGGAATTTTATTGGCATGCATAAATCACAATAATCATACCTAGTGTAGTGTAAGTGTGACCTTCATTTGGAGCTGTGAATAAAAACAAATTCACAAATTGAATTCACAATGGCTTAAGACGCAGTGTTACATGTTTTGCTAATTCGATGATTCTTCTACAACACTAGCTAGTTAAAGTACTTAACAACACTTGCTGGTCGTTTAACAAGTTACATTTGTACACATAAAATAAATATCAAGCGGACGCTTCGAATCGATCGATCATTTTGTAAATAGCTGCAATTTCGTTTCGAGTAATACTTGTTTCGATAAGCGGCAAGAGAATGCGAAATGCTTGAGGTTGAAAACAAAATGCGACCTAAGGACAACTGGCGCAACCAGGCCTATATTTAAGCTGTTAAATTTAATTAAATAAGGCCAAGTTCAGCCGAAATGATGTCGTACTTGACACTTGACAAAAACACAATAACACCTTACTACCGTTTTTTAGGAATCTGGTCTGCCGCTATCGCTGTCCGTAAAAGTGCAAATCAACATGCATTTCAAGGATCTGAAAAACTATCCGCAAGTTTCACAGTTTAGTCATCTGACCGCCCCAATGCTGTGGTTCGAGATTGTAAGTAATGCCCCCGTTCGTTTATGTAGGCAACCGAGTCTTGAATGTAACCTTCGTATCTTTTCAGATGATGCCTAAGCTGCCCGACGAGCTTGACTCTCGTTTCAGCTTCTACTTGAATATCTTACCACTGGTCAATCCCTTGGGCTTTTGGGGTGCATTGGTGCTGGGCGTGGGCTTGCTGGTCTATGCCATAACACGTGCCACGCTACATATGTCCAGCTTTACACGCCAGGCGACCAACATTTCGGACAGTAAATATGCACGCGCCAATCTGCTGCAGAACCTTACTGGCAGCGGGGGCATCGTTGGCGGTGGCAATCAAGTCTATAATCCGTGTGAGCTTAAGCTGCTGGACGATATGCCTGCCGCAAAGAAGCATGTTATTATACGCGCCAGCGAGGAGGACTATCAGGAACGAAGACCGTCCGCCTACGCCCTAGAGCTGGAGCCAGCGCTCTCCGATGCGGAGAGCAGCGATGAGGGCAACGATAGCGATACTGTCACCCTCAGCCGCAACTCCACCACATCCAGTTCGTGCATAGAAGTAGAGCATGGAGATGATGATGTTTGCATCGATTGCTTCGATGGCAGTGATATGGATGTGGATGCAGCCAGTCCGAGCAAAACAGGCACGAAGCAACAGGTAAGCAATCAGCGCTATATGTTATGTCACCTATTAGGGGCGAGCAAATAAATGCTTGATCTAATGGTGCCGGCACGGTGTAAGGAAATCGACGCCAAGCTGTCTAACGAGTCTGGGGCGAGCGTTCATTCCGTCACGAATTTACGAGTGCGTTAGATGAATTTGATTAGGTTTGGAGGCTGTCGGCAACAGGCGAAACCTCAAACCGGTTTTCGGGGCAAGCATTGCCTTCGGGAGTCACACGAGTTGATTCTTTTTCGAATATTTGCATACACTTGAATGGTTACCATTGATATACTAATTACACAATATGAAATTTCTTTGCATTTACAGCTGGGCGTTAGTTTGACCAGCAGCGGCTTTGCCTCGTCGCCCGCATCGACCAACAGTTCCAGCTCGCATGTGAATATGGATGGCGAGCATATCAGCAAAAGTTGGACACCTTATACGCATTCCGATAAATTAGACGGGACGGATTCCATTAAGCACGTGTAGAATTTAGCCACCATTCTAGTATTTAACTTAGGTTTTCGGTTTCCTTAAGATGATGTATGTGCATATTTGCAAGTGCATTTTAGTGTGCTAGTTTGGTTGGGCATCGGCATCGCCGCTTTTGGTTTTATATAGCATTTTATATAGTGTAAATAATATGAAAGCCAAGTGTTGGTTTTTTTTTACTGTGATAGCTTTAAACAACAAAAGATCGATGTATGTATATCCTTTGTATATACCAAACAGCACAAATAGTGCTGATTCTTTTTACAAAAAACTAACATTTTTATGGCGTTATTTATATTGAATTTAAGCAGTTTGTAAGTTACGTTCGCTTAATTTAGTTAACAAGTCACCTCCATGAGGTGCCGAAAATAATTTGATGAATTTATATATGAATTAAAGCAAGTTATAATGAAAGTCGAATAAGAAATTTGCACAACAATTGTAGTTCAAGTGCGTAATCTATGCTAAGAATTGCTGTGATTTTTGTATTGAAGCAGAATTTATGGGCAAACGCATAACAAAGAAAAGCGTCTGTTCAATGAATAAATATCTTAGCCTTAGATCATGTAATTCTACCATTTTAAATGTAATAAACAAATTATTTAAAAAGCACATCCTTCAAATGAAGTATCTGGTGTTGTTCAATGAAAAATTCTAAATTTGAATTTGGCGCACCTCACTACACTGCTTTCTGAACAGAGCTCCACCAGTTAACAGAATTCGCTCCCCCTCTACAACATGTACTCAGTGCTATCGGTAAAACTTCATACTGTTATACAACAGTATTCACGTCTCATTATATCGAAATATATGCCAGTATATTGATAATCATAACGCAAACGTCGTAAATAAATATTTGCGGTTGGTTTTTCTGTTCTTTTTATTAATTGTTATTCAGTATTCATCGCACGCTACTATCGCTAGAGTTCCACCACTATTGCGGATAATCATAATATATACTTTGGATAAACAGGTTGACTGCTATATGTAGAAATTTAATTCATAATTATTTCGGAAATGTCACAATATTTTTCGGCTCAATAACATCCAAAAAGTGTCCAACAACTACAGAAGAGAAGTCACAAAGAGCGTCGAAGGGTAAGCAAAGACATCCCGATAGCAAAACAAAGCTCAACAAGTCGGCAGACATTGCACAAACCGCTCTCACTTTCGATGCCGACGCTGGCGCCGACGCCGACGCCATCAACGACGCCGGCGTTAACAGCGATAACATAAAGGCAGCAAAGCAGCGACTGGGACTTTGACGGCACAGTTTAAAAAAATGGTTAAAGAAAACCGGTCGTGTTTTGTCTGATATCAATTGCTAACTGCACTTTGCTTACGTGGACCAAGCCAAGTGCTGTATCGTCGACAGCGTTAATCTGAACGCCACTTTTATCGCAATCCTTAACGATTATGCACACTTATCAAAGGTTAACAATTTAATAAAAGCCCACAGCGCAAACACACACATACAAATAATAACCTTTGGATTATTATACTATTTCGGTTTTTACAGCTCGCCCGTTGAAAGAAGAATTGATCCGCCCAAAGCCGAGATGAGATTGCTGAACAGCAGAGGTGTCTTCTGGAATTTGGTGAGTAATTGCCAACTATGAGCCTAATCCTGACTAACATTCGCCTTACAGACCAAATGTTCCATCAAAGCAAATCAAACTTCGAATGTTCTTGTCAAGCTGCTGCCTGCCAGCTTTGGCAGCAAAAGTTCTGAGCAGTCGCAAGTGCCACAAAATGGGGCACCAAAGCAGAATCTGTTGAAATACCATGTTTTGCCACTGAATGAAACGCTGGACCGTTTTCTGTGCAGTGTTCAGCCTCTGCTGACGACCGAAGAGTTTCGGCAACAAAGAAAAATAACGGAAGAATTTAGAGACAAAGAAGGCGATGAACTGCAGACATTGCTCGAGGAGGTAGGTAAAAATGAGAATAACTGGCTGGCGGGTCGCTGGCTGAAGGCGGCCTACCTGCAATATCGTGATCCAGTCACCGTCTATGTGAGTCCCGGCATGACATTTCCACCGCAAAAGTTCATAAATGAAAGTGCCTTCGTTAACTATACGGCCAAAGTGATCTTTGGCCTCGGCGAATTTAAAAGCATCGTAGATTCTGGTAAAATACCAGTTGTCAAAATGGGCAAGAATGAGCTAGACAATAGTCAGTTTGGCAAGGTATTTGGAACCTGTCGTATACCACGACGTGGCACGGATGAGATTGTATATAATCCCTGTTCCAAGCATGTGGTGGTCATCTATAAAAATCATGTAAGTCTGTTTACTTGAAAGTGGTTTAATATTCATTAATTATTTATATTTAACCCAATAGTTCTACAAATTGTGCCTATACGACAAGGACGATAAGCTGCTGTCTGCTCCAGCGCTGGCCAAACAGTTGGAGATAATAATGGAAGCGGAAATCGATTTTGGTGTACCCTATGGCATTCTCACCACAGACTCGCGCGACAATTGGGCAGAGGCCTATGGACAACTGTCCGCAATGCCCCGAAATATGGAGGCCATTCAGACAATACAGACTTCGCTGTTCACTGTTTCCTTAGATGAATGCGTTTCATTTAAACCCGATGAACAGGCCAATCAATTGATCCTGTCGCTGATTCATGGTGGAGGTAGCAGAGTGAATAGTGGCAATCGTTGGATGGACAAAACCATTCAACTAGTGGTCAATCCAAATGGAAACGTTGGCTTCACCTACGAGCATTCCCCAGCTGAAGGGCAGCCCATTGCCATGATGATGGATTATGTGGTAAAGAAAATGTAAGCATTAACTTACACCATATATTGCTCCCATGTAATTATCAGTCTATTAAATTCGTTTCACTAAATTCTAGGAGCGAGGACAAAAAGTATGGTGAATGTGGCTCCTCTGAGCCTGTTGAAAAGCCACAAAAGATCAAATTTTGTCCACTCAACGAATGCGTCGGGCAATGGATATTCTATGCTAAACGTAATGTCGATCGCCTTGTTCATGATCTGCAAATGAAAGTGCTAAAATTCGATAGTTATGGCAAGGAGTACATCAAAAATAAGCGCCTAGGGCCAGACAGCTACGTGCAGATGGCCCTTCAGCTGGCGTTTTACAAGTAAAGATCTTTGAAATGTAAGTTCTATTCAAATATGTAATGCTATCAATGTTTTTTTTTTATTAGAATGCACAACGAACCCGCTGCTCAATATGAATCAGCGCACCTGCGTATTTTCGAGAATGGACGCACGGAAACCATACGCTCCTGCTCGAATGAATCGTTAGACTTTTGCCGGGCGATGACCAGCAAAGATGCATCTGTGGAGAAGCGCGCCAAGCTGTTACGCGAGGCAGTCAGTAGTCATCAGGCGTATACTAGACTGGCGCTCCAGGGACGCGGCGTTGACCGTCACCTGTTGGGTCTGAAGTTGATGGCACTGGAAAATAACCTGCCAGTACCCAAGTTCTACTCGTCTGTGGGCTACACCAAGTCCATGCACTTTCGTATGTCCACATCTCAGGTGGCCACAAAGTTCGATGCCTTCATGGGGTACGGTCCAGCCACACCTGATGGCTATGGTTGTTGTTATAATCCTCGCGAATGCGATATTATACTAGCAATCTCTGCATGGAAATCAAATTCGGATACTGACCCCGACAAGTTTGCAAAGGCCCTAACAAAGGCTTTCCTTGAAATGGAGGCGGTTCTTGACAAGGAACCCACGAAGTCCAAGCTGTAGTGACCTTAAAAAAAAAGTATGTTTTACAATGTTTATTAAATTTCGAGTGCAATTAAAGCCCGGCTTGTATTTTAACAAAAACCATGCACATATCAGTCCCCAAACCCAGTAAGTCTCATTCTGTACACATCTAGTTTGCGTTATTTATTACGTCTAGAGTATAAATTTGCTATAATCTTTCGATTCTTCTCCAAATTGTATAATGCGGGCCCTAATCACGACAGAGCGCTTCCTGAGCACAGTAAGTGTGCAGCAGGACAATGCTTAAATGATTCTAATCCGAATTCAGCCCACGCAGTACAACGGCAATTCTCGTAATTACGGCAAACAGAATAACAATGTGCACGCAAGGCCTATAAGGACTCAGCCCAAAAATGAACGGAGCCTCGTTGCAAAACTCTTTTTCTATGTGAAATCATGGGCAAAACAATTTCAATTCCTACCAACTTTAATTTCACCTAAGCATAACGTCAAGCAACAGCAAACGGAGCCTATGAGATTAGCGAACGTCAAGCAACTGCAAACGGAGCCTAAGAGATTGCCCAAAATAAAAAAAAAATCAATTACCAAAAATCAATCAACAAATCGAGTTAGTAAAGCGACCCGAACTCCCAAATTTGTAGATATACAGAGAGCAGAGGCCGATATCTTCTCCCGCCTACAAATACCAACATGTATCTGTGCACCGGCACAAGCTTATCCAGTGAACCCAACAAAAACTGGCCCTGTGGTGCTGCCTTATCTGAAATATCAATTACCCAATTATCCGGTTATACCGCTGCAGCTGACTCTCAATCGTTATTTAAACAGCCTAAAACCGCTTTTCAAGGAGAAGGACCTTGAAAAAGAGCAGATGCTGACACGCGACTTTCTGAACAACAAGGGATGTGAACTGCAAAAGCTGCTTCAGGAAGCCGGACAAGCCGATGACAATTGGCTCACCGAACGCTGGACAAAGGTCACCTACTTGCGACATCGTTCACCGTTAACTGTCTATTCCAGTCCTTGCATAGCGTTTCCTAGACAACAATTTCGTAGTACTTTTGAATTTTTGGACTTCACGGCCAAGGCCATATATGCCATGTGCGAGTTCAATAGTCTGGTGGAGAACAATCAAATACCCGTTTGCAGATTGGGATACTTTGAGCTGGATAACAGTCAACTGCACCAAGTATTTGGCACGGTCCGCACACCGCAACGCGAGAGCGATGTCCTGCAACAGTTCGGATCCAACTATATTGTTGTCATACACAACAATAATGTAAGCTTCCTTGGCGATTCGAAAAAAAAAACGATCCTTATCTTATCTTATACTTATCTCCTATAGTTCTACAAACTACCTGTTTACAGCACGGAGCAAAAAGATGTGTACAACGTATTTCAGATCAGAAAGCAATTGGTGGAACTTATTAATTCAGGGCATGCCAAGGGACCAGCAATTGGCCTGCTCACCCACGACACACGTAACAACTGGGCCGAAGGCCGTGAATTGCTTTGCCGCAAAGATCTGGACGCCTATGCGATTCAGTGCATCGAACAGGCGCTCTTCACAGTCTCCCTGGACGAATATCTTGAGGTACCTGAAGACCAGGAGCGTTCCATGCTGGCTGCTCAGCTTTTGCATGGCGGCGGCTTGCATATAAATAGTGCCAATCGTTGGATGGACAAGACCCTGCAGCTGATTGTCAATCCCAACGGCATGGCCGGTCTGTGCTGTGAGCTTGCGGCCGCGGAACCGTATCCGGCGGCCAGCATTATGGACTATATATTAAAGAACATGTATGTACATATGTAAATTCTATCGTATTATTTATACAGTATTTGCTGAGTCGGTTATCTCTTATGTAATAAGTGTTAACCCGGAATATGGAATGGTCTCCCACACCACGGACCCAGGTGACCTGGTGGAATACATTAGTTTTGAAGAAGTCGACGAGTGCATCGGTTGCTGGTTGACGGCGGCGAAGCATAACATAAAAAAAATCACTAGACGTTTGAAGCTGCATGCATTCCAGTTCGATTGCTACGGCACGAGTCTCATCAATTCCCAAGGCCTTGCACCAGATAGCTTTGTGCAGATGGCACTGCAGCTGGCCTTTTATAGGCAGCACAAGAAGCTGCCCGTACAGCACGAGTCGGCACATTTGCGCATCTTTAAAAGGGGACGCAGCGAAGTCGTACGTTCAACTTCTAAAGAATCTTCGAATTTTGTGCATACCATGGTTTCGGGCAAAGCCACATCTAGCGCTTCCTGGTTGGCAATGCGCGCCGCAGTGGACTCTCATCAGCATCAGACAATGCTGGCGCATCAGGGACGTGGCGTGGATCGCCATTTGTTCGGCCTGGAACAGATGGCAATTGAACAGGGCAAGCCCTTGCCCTACTTTTTTAGCACCGCAGGTTATCAGAGATCGAAAAATTTTGGCATAGTCAGCTCCCACCTTACGACCCCACATGACTGTTTCATGGCCTACGGCCCACTCAACTCGGAGGGCTATGGCTGCTGTTATAATTTGCGCGAGAATGATATAACCTTTGCCATTTCTGGCTGGGATGGAAATCCTGATATTTCGGTCGCGCGTTACTGCACGGCAATTGAATCGGCTCTAACCGAAATGGGGCATCTCAGGAAAAGGCGCAGCTCTAGTTCCACGGCCAAGGATGTCGGTAACGGCATGCAGCACAAGAAATAGTTAAAGTTTAATTTTAATATTTATTAATTGTACCTAAAGTTTGAAATAACTTAAGTGTGGCTCAGGCATAAAATTTAAATACATATATTTTTTATTTTCAGGCGGTTCCTCTAGTCCTTTTTGCAGTGATAGCAGCTGCAAGAGACGGCACTTTTGAAGGTCACATTGCGTATACCCTCAATGCAAAGCACACGGCGTTGTATCTGAAAGGAATAGGGGTTAAATCTAGCCATGCATTCACCTAATTCATTAGGATCAATTTGATACAAGTCCCAGCTCACTCACCTCCTCGGATTTCATCATGTTACAGCACTGACCCACCGACACAACCGGCTTGGGTGGTCTGAACAAACCCGTCAATGCCGTTGGTACCGATGGAACAGCATAGGATTCACAAAAGCCACGACAAGCATTCGTTGTAATCGTAAACTCCACACAATCGGGTATTGAGATTTTACGCGTATTTCCCACCTTATGGCAGCCAGGACGCAACCATGTGTCCTTGCCGGGCAGACTGCTCTCGGCGGCCAGAAACGAGGAGCAGAGTAGCCACAAAACAAATGCCAACAGCGTTATCGAGCTCATCTCGTCTGTGGGCCAATGATGACTGTTGGCCGCTTCCCAACGGACGCTCTGTTTTATTCCGGCCAGCAGAATACTGCGCTTGCGCAAAGAATGAATCTTGTCGTGGGCAATGGGCTGCATTTAATAGGTAGGGAGTCAAGATGGGGGAAAATATTGCTTGCCTAAAATATTCATGCATAAAAACCATGTTTGCATATTCCTATTTTTAATATGGCCCAGAAACGGGAATAACTATCATGATTTATTTTTTTTTTCAGCGAGCGATTTACATACATACGTACATAGATATGTACAGTGACAAAAGAAGCACTTTTTGCATTACATATTCATGTTTAAGCATGTTTACATACATACATACGTATATGCGCAATGGCGCCTCGGCGCAGTAACTGTAACTCTCCTTTTGTTTCGGTGCCCACGCCTATTCGCCAACACTTATCACCCGTTTGATCGCGTTGTTGTTGCATACAAAAAAGAATATCACAAGTATAACAGTAACGTTGCCGAATAGTGATGCTCAGACAGCGCATGTTGACTTGCAATATTTCGTTGAATGATTGCTGAGTAAAGTCCAGTCTTGGACACATTTAAATCGTGAAAACCTGTAGAATGGAACAAAAATGATCAGTGTTTCCGTGATGATACTTAATTCATTGTGGAATGTGCATACATATGTAAATCTGTGTGTTAAAATTATGATTTATTTTGCTCGGTGTGTAAACCAACATATGAGTTATTATTTTGCATGTTCTAAGGCGTTTCATAAATTACATATGGCTTATAACAGCTTATAAAAAGGAATTCATCTGTAAGTAATTGCATAAAATTGTTATATGATAGATTCATCCTATTGACACATAAGATGAAACGGTTCTGTTACTGTAATTCTTCTTCTCGTTACCTACGCACATTCGTCAATGCATATCGCCCTCTTACGTTCGCGTTGTAAAAAAATGTAACAGTAAAGTGATGCCATATTTGGCTCATTGATGTTGAAATAAATCAACTTCTCAATCGTGGATCGTGAAAGTCAATAGAATCGAAAAAATGAAATATTTTCTTGATATTCAATTCTTTGTAGATAAAGATCGCATATGTATGTATATGTACATATGCATGAGCATATGTAAATCTGTGCGTTAAAATTATTTTATAATTTATTTTGTTCGCTGGGTTAGACCAAAAACAATAAAACAAGTGTTTATATTGTGTTTGTTTAGACAATATGTGAATATTATAAGCTGCAAAGCAGTTTCCAATTAGCGAGGTGCTGGCCTGTCGTTGGCCCAAGCTGTGAACTATGCGTGGCTCTCGTTCCGCTTGGCAGAGGCGGCGCGGAGTTCTTTGCGCAAAGATTCACGCAGCACACGGGCTGGGATGTTGGAATGTTGAATGTAGTAAGTCCAGATGCGCTCCATTCGCACCGAGAATAACATTTCAGACCTTGGCTAGAGCAGGCGCTTTCGGAGTTAAAGATGAGACAAGAATATCGCTTGTGCGACCGTTTGGCGAGGAGGACTGATGCTGACTTGGGACAATTGCCAAAAACGATTTATTAACGACGGCGGAAAGTAAAGCAAGCTAAGGACAATTACACGTATTTCTGCACAGGCAATTCCAATAAGCGCAATGCCTCTGTATGTAAGTATAAAGAAACAGAAAAGTTAAACGCAGAAGAAAGTTTATTCGTCCAAGGATAGCTTACGCATTTTGCTGTTTATTTTCGTCCAAAACTGTATATTAATCAAAAATCAGACATGTTTACCAAGGCCAACCGTTCTTGGAGTCTTCGATATAGCAAGATGTTTCTGTTTTTGCGCTAAGTTAACAATTTTTGGGATTTAATGTATAAACATCATTCGGATGTTTAGAAATCATAACACATTAAAATGATTCTCTTTGCGCCATACGTCTGGAAAGCTCGTGCTTAGTTCAGAATGCCAAGGCATTCTTAACATTTGAAACTCGGCCCATACCTTTGCCTGGCATATGGTACTCTTCTACGGGGCAAGAAATTGTGGAAAGCAAGAAGCGCGGGTAAGCGAATCGGTGTTAGGGCCATGGGTAAGAGTTAAAAGGTGTCGCCCGTAGAAATGAACCTGCTTAGAGTGCGTTCAGTTTTTAGTTCTCACTTAGTAGTCCCATTTCGTGCGTTACGAGAACTGTCTCGTTGTTGTTGATTAATTATCGAACATTATTTCTGTTCCTATTGTTAAATACGGAGAGATCTCTCCCTAAAAACAGCCCACAAAAAATACAAAATATCAACAAAACGCGTTTCGCTTGGTAGGAACCATTCTCTATTATTGGCGCATCGATATGCAATTAATGAATATACATTTCAAATTGTTTTTACCCTAATAAATATCAACCGATTTAGACAAGGACCAGGATTTCAGACCCAACCGAGAAAAAATCGCTGGCTCGCTTACGCTATGAATCGGCAAAACGGTAATCATTTACATGGCATGAATGAGGGCCAACTGGAACTGGCACCGATAGAAATGGTGGACGTGGACATGGACGGAAGTTTTCAAGGGGATGAACTTGATAACAGTCCCACACAGAAGCCCTCCACAAAATCTCTATCACCGATTGTCAGCGACCATGCTCTCAACGTGCTCAACGAACTGCGCGAAGCGAATCTTCTGTGCGATGCGCAGATCTCGGTGGGCGAGCAGTCTTTCAATGTGCATCGTGCCATCATGTGTTCCTGCAGCTCATATTTTCGGTGAGTTTCCCTAGTGCATTTGCCGCTATACAATCAATTTAATCCACAACGATGGCGCTGCACAATATTTTCTTTCTTTTGTTTTGTCGTGCTCCTGTTTCCCGGCAGCGCACAGTTTACGGGGTTCAACAGCCGTGCCGGAACGGGGAATGACGAGAGCCGTGTCGTGCATATACCGGGCATTAGTGCGTCCATCATGAACTGTGTCATACAGTACGCCTACCTGCGCAAGACTAACATCAGCGACGACAACGTCCACGAGCTGCTTATTTGTGCGGATTATGTGGGAATGGTGGGGCTGGTCAAACAGTGCAAGGAATATCTCAGTCGTACACTAAGTCCGGAGAACTGTGTCAGCATCATGGGGTTTGCGCGGTCAGTATGAGTGTTGAGACCGCTTTCCGCCCTCGCTGTTTCGCGTTCATTCGTTAATCTCGCATCTCAATTGTTGTTGTTTTTTGCATTGAAATAGCTATAATCTGCTTTTAATTGACTTGAATTTGATTGCAGCTTTCGGTTTCTCGAGGATTTGTATCAGAAGGCGCGCAATTATACGCTTAGGTACTTTACAGATGTGGCCGCCCGAAATACGGACATACTGGACTTAAACATTAAGGACTTTTACAGCATTATTAGTGATGATGAGCTAAATACACGTGAGGAGGATTACGTATGGAAGCTGTGCGTCAAATGGATTGACCGAGATCCAGAAAATCGAAAGCAGCATGTGGCGCATCTGATGACGGGCGTGCGCCTTGGTCTGATGACCCCCAAGGTACGAAATGTGGGAAACTAATCGGTTAATCGATATATATATATATATGTACATAAATCCTTCAGTGCTTCATGGAGGAGGTCAAGGAGCATCCCTATGTCATTCAATGCGAGGCTGCCAAACCGCTGATAGTCGATACCTTTAAATTCATGTATGATCTGGATTTTCTTAACCCACAAGCCGAAGAGGTAATGCTAACACCCTCTGCTCTGCAGCAGCAACTTATACGTGCCATTTGATTTGCCCTTTCAACCCAAGCTAACCACACCGCCGTTGGCGATGCCGCGACTACCACATGAGGTCATCTTCGCCATTGGTGGCTGGAGTGGTGGCACATCGAAGGGTTGCATCGAGACCTACGACACGCGCGCCGATCGCTGGGTAAACATCAATGCCGAGGATCCAGCTGGACCGCGCGCTTACCATGGCACCGCCGTTCTTGGCTTTAAAATTTATTCCATAGGTGGCTACGATGGCGTCGAATACTTCAATACCTGTCGCGTCTTTGATGCCGTCAAGAAGAAGTGGAACGAGATTGCGCCAATGCACTGCCGTCGCTGCTATGTCAGCGTGGCGGAACTGAATGGCATGATCTATGCAATTGGCGGCTATGATGGACACAATCGCCTAAACACCGTGGAGCGCTACAACCCAAAGACCAATCAGTGGTCCATCATTCCACCCATGAATATGCAGCGGTCCGATGCCAGCGCTTGCACGCTGCACGGCCGCATCTATGCAACGGGTGGCTTTAATGGTCAGGAATGTTTGGATAGTGCCGAGTATTATGATCCACTGACCAATGTCTGGACACGAATACCAAATATGAATCATCGTCGCTCTGGCGTCAGCTGTGTGGCGTTCAGGGATCAGCTGTATGTTATTGGCGGCTTCAATGGCACATCCAGGCTGTCTACCGGCGAAAGATTTGATCCGGAATCTCAATCTTGGCACTTTATACGGCAAATGAATCACTCGCGCAGCAACTTTGGCCTGGAGATAATCGATGACATGATCTTCGCCATTGGCGGCTTCAATGGCGTCTCCACCATCTCGCACACCGAATGTTATGTGGCCGAGACAGACGAGTGGATGGAGGCAACGGACATGAATATTGTACGCTCGGCGCTATCGGCTAACAATGTGGCCGGACTGCCCAACAAACGCGACTATATACATAAGGAACGTGATCGTCTTATGGAGGAGCGACGTCAACGTTTAATGGCCACGGCAATGGCTCGCGAAGATGTTGGCAACACGAATCGCTCACAATCGCTGGTTGACAACAATGATCCGGCCCTGGATGATCTGGATGAAGAGAGTCCCAACGAGGATGTCGATGGTGAGGAGCTGCAGTTGCCGCAGCAGGTGGCACTACCACTACCAGCGCCTGGCGGCATACCGCCTGCAGCCGCAGCTGCTGCTGTTGATGCAGCCGTTTTGCCCGCCGTTCACCTCAATCGCCAGGCTGAGGATCGCGGCCCAGACAATAATCGGCGCTTTCGGGTGCAGCTGCGTAATCAGCGCTATGGCTCGCATCATGAAATACGTCGTCGCTCGTAGGCGTCATCGTCGTAACCGGCGTTCACTCGCAACTCCCCCTCAACCGGCACTGACCCCCAGACATTAACGGAGATTGCCAAACAATGTTTGGCGACGAATACAATAGAGGATGCGTTAGCGTGGGCAAAGGTATTCTGGTGCAGAAATTGGCAACGTGGCCCACGTCCATAGAAACCGTTTTTTTTTATTTACCTTTCGATAACGCACACAATTCTTGGCAAGTAACAAAAATTATTGCATAGCATGAGGCGCAACAAGACTGCTGCCGTATCAATTTTTTTGACATTTGATAAAGAAAATTCCGTTATCAAAATTTTCATGGTATTACAAAATTCTTTGCATCATACACAATAAAATGCAGAATATTAATAGTACTAAATGAAGTTTATATAATTGTCTTTAGAGTACTTTAAATTTAAATTTAAATTGTAACGCACAATGCTCCAGTTGGATCCAATATGCAAAACTCATACAATTACAAAGTTTATTTTTAGGTTAACAACCGCATTGCCTTAGAGGCAACCGATGCGATGCGCAGACGCCACGACCACAACCAGCAGCAGCAACAGAACTTGCCTATAAATATGAAGAAATGCCGAAAGATTCCAACACAACGCAACCGACTGCGACGCGAACAGCACGCATTAGACAGCAAAGGGAACACGGAGGAAGCTTAGAAATGCTCGCAGCGTTGTAAGTGCCGATAAAGGCGTTCAATTTAAAGGTCGCTCTAATTCAAAAATGTTATACATTTCTTTTTCGCCAGACTGTGTTTGGTTTTTTTGGCATCGCCGCTGCTGCATATGGCTAGCGCCCAATTGGTTGACCTGCATCCGGTTTATAGTGGACCCACTGTGGCACCTCTTGGCTGTCATCGTCGCTTGTACACGTACAGGGTGACCCAGTCAGATTTGCAGGGTCGCGAATGCTGGGATTTTGTGAGCGTTTGGAGCTGTTGGGGTCGCTGTGATTCCAGCGAGATCTCCGACTGGAAATTTCCCTACAAGCGCTCGTTTCATCCCGTGTGTGTACATGCGCATCGTCAGCCGTCGGTGGCCGTACTGAAAAACTGTCATCCTGAGGCTGATGATAACATTCGTAAATATAGTTACATGGAGGCCATAAACTGCCACTGTCATACATGCTCCACGGAGGACACCAGCTGCGAGGCACCAGCCAACAATGGCCTAGACGAACGCAAGAGCATTAAGGTGTTAGCGTTATCTAACGATGATTCTGGTGCCCTCGATTATTAGGCGGTGACTTTCGTGTAGTACAGTTTGGTGGCGCGTTTCTAACAATAAAGCTTTGCATTTTATGGTAAGTTGCATCTAAAGCAAACAATTTTATTTGTTCGATTTACATGATTTTGTATTGCGCGTGTTCGTTAGCAACAAGAATTTTGGTATGGTTGCCTGATGACGATTTGAACAGAGAGTTTAAACTAAAAAGGAAATTCTTAGTGTCCAGATAAATCTAAATATATATAATATATATATATATATATATATATGTATGTATGTATTTATAATATAAAACAAAACTATATATTTGACGGTTAAGCGCATCAATGCGACTACTACACACACACAAGTGTATGACAGCCACTGGCCACAGCTGGTTAGAAGCTATAGCGTTTCACACTTAAAGCTATGCCGTCTCACCTACAGAAATTTTGGACTTGAGTTTGTGTTGTTGCTCTCTTGCGCCAGCAGGTATAGGCAATATAGCGACGATATGCCTAAACCAATAGCACCACCCAGGGCACATTTTCGCAGGCCAGCTAATATGAAATATAAAAAAAAAAAACATTAGTATACAAGTTTATAACGTTTATGTGGGAGTGAGCTCACCTGTTGATTTGTAGAGTAGTCCCGTGGCAGAACCGGCTATTATGGTATTTACATTGTCGTCCTGATCACGAACATACTGCAACAACACTCCACACGCCGAGTACAGTACAGCCAACGTGCCTAAGGTATTTGCCGTACCGGAGCCCTGCTTCATGACGTGATTAATTAATCTGTAAAAAAGATGCACATCAATGTGTAGAAACAAAAGCGATACAATTTAATGTACGCCCCATACGCTTAGATATCTGAAGCATATGGTATCCAGATAGCCTCTTGAATCTCTGTTGCCTACTTACTGGGTGCGACGCAGCTTCCCCGTCTGATTGAGCGCGTTAGTAACTTTAATGCCATTGTAGACGCCCGCCAGGCCACCAATGCCACCACCGATCATTACAGATGTGCCGATCTGCGAGAAAGCCAACTCGAAACGTCCACGCTGCTTGTTGGCGCCCTCGGGAAATATGAACTCTGGCTGCGCTTGCTGCAGGAATCGTGAATCATAGTTGAGGTATGGTGAGACTGGAGCACTGCTAAATGTGCTCGTTGCCGGTGTGTAGTTTGTGGTTGCTGTTGGCTGTGGCTCGTCGACTGCAATTTAAATATAAAAATAATGTAAAAAGCCCTAGATTTCATTCAAAAACTCCCCATGTAACAGCTAGTCACATTGCGTAATGTGTATGGACATGCGGGGTGTTGCTTACCGGTTGGTGGGGGCGCTAATGAAAATGGTTTCCTTAAGTAGTCGTCACTCATTTTGGAATTTAATCGCTTGCCTTGCCAAGGTTAGTTACTAATTTATGATCAATCAGATGCCAATTTAATTGAAGCTTACAACACAAATGGGAAACGAATGCGTTTCCCGTGCTCTGCTTATGTTTCTAACTTTTTCTAACTTGTACTCTTGTCAGCGTGACATTTGTATCCCACGTGTGTTGTTAAACACACTAGGAGAATGTTTTTAACAACACTTACATTATATTCAGTTTGCCAGGGCCAGTAAGTTGAAACCGAACAGCTGTTAAGCAATCAGCTGTTACTTAAAGCTTTGCAACACTTAAACAGAGTTTATATCGTTATCGGTCTGAGCGCGTATTTTGCAGCACTACGGCTGTGGTTTTCGTTCCGTGCGGTTGTGTTTTGGTAGTTGGTATTATCGTTGGTTGTCCATTATCCCTAATTGAAATAGAGAAAATTAATAATAAGTTGTGCGGCCAGCAAACGAAGCGAGTCTATGCCGAGGACAATTAATTAAAACGAAAACAGTCCTCTAAATCTGAAGAGTGTCATTGCCGTGTGTTATCGTTGCTGCGGGTTTTGGTGTGGGAGTAGGAGCCGAGGAGTGGGTGCAAAAGTAACCGGCATTTAAAGTGTATTTGTATTTACTTTGGCTACCCGAGCCTGTACTCCCTTAGTCCTCATCAATGTCGTCAACCGAGGTAAAACTGTCGCGTCTGCTGGGACTAGCGCAAAAGTTTAATAATTTCTACTTGACAGGTGAGTAACACAGCTTAAATCATCAGCGTCTTTATTGTTGTTATTTTGGGGTTGGCTATGTTGCCGTTCGCCTTTTGGCCATGAAAATGGGATTGGCAGCCACTGACCCTGTATACACACACTACACACGCTAACTCACATTGTGGGCGACCTGGGCGCCAATATAATGGGTGCAGCGCATACCGTTTACTGCAATTGCAGCAAAGAGCGAGAGCAAGAGAGTGCGAATTATCGATTAGTTTGTTTACTTGTATGTAAGCGCTTGTGTTTGTGTGTGTGTGTGTGTGTGTGTTTGTGCGTGTGTGTGTGTGTGTGTGTGTGTGCAGCTGCTGCTGCTGCTGACGTCGCTACCAAATGTCTCATTGCCATTTCGTTTCTACAGCATCCAATCGGCTCTGCATTGACATTGAAACTAATTTCCTTTTTGGCTATTTTTGTGACTAATATTTGTGTAAAATAGTCGCAAACTTTGTCTTGCCATGCCAAGCATGTTATCGATCTACACAGTGCAAACCGATAAGTTCACCTGTTGCGCTCGCTAGTAATCCGATGCGCGCTGATTTATATTGTTGTTTACCACGCTGCTGTCCAGCCTTTCGCAGTAATAAGCGCTGGCTCATCCAACAGCTGTGCCCTATCGCATTTCAATGCACAATTCCTTAAACATGAATTGCAATTAAACAAAATGTAATGCTAAATAAACAAGCGACTCTTATGCAAGATCATTTTTATCAAGCAATCGTTTGTTGTTTATTAATACAAATACATTTAAGTATGCTAACTTAGTCACTAAATATGTACAAATGTGAATTTCTGATCAGTAGACATACATACATATACATATATATATATATGTGTGTGTGTGTGTGCATACATTTTGTTGTTCATAATTAAGAGCTTTGCGCATCGACTCAATTTTACAAATTATTTGTCGCTTGTTGTTGCTGTTGTTACAAGATTTTTATCGTATCACCTTGAGGGCAACTTTTGGCATTTTCGGCGACAACAACAACATGCAGCAACAGCTGAAACATCTCACAAACACACACAGACACACAGGCACACAGGCACACTGTATAAAATCAGATATTGTATGTATAAATTTAGAGATAGATCTTTATGGCTTGATTAAGTGCAAAAAAGTGGCACATATGTTCGCTTAATTGGGCTGCAACTTATCTCTTTTCCGCAATCTTCCTCTCGCTCTCTCTCTTTCTCTCTCTCTCGCTCTCTCTATCTATCTATCGCTATTAACCACTCTTTGGCTCTCTATCTCCGCTGATAAGCGGCATGCGCTATTTGACAAGCTATTTGTTTTGCTTCCAGCTATTTCAAGTGTATTGCTTTGAATTTTGAAACAAATTTGAATTCAATGTATTGGGCAATTTATTTTGTTATACCCTGTAAAAAGTGGGTATATGTGCTGCTTACAAATTTAATACGTAGCTATTCTACGTAACGAGATTCTTTTACCTGATTGGCATCTGATTGGCATTGTATTCCAATAAGTGAAGATCTCAAAATTAATGCTGGCTTGTCAGATTCCTTTATTTTGCTTTAAATACTTTTCGTATTGCAAGTTGTTTATCTTTGAATCAAGAGTCGAATTGGTATTCCATGTTTATGTTTTGCTCGTTTGAATAATGACGCAATAATTGAGTTTGCCAATTTAAAAGATCTTCGCTGTTTGCCAACCGGCTTAAATGTTATTTTCAAGGCATGTTTTGATCAAATATTGTCAGAATTGTATTTATTATGATGAGTACTGGCGAACTAGAGTTAGATAAATTCTGACAAAGAACGTGGACAGATATCAAGCCTCCCTTTTTTGAAACATGGCCAACAAGACAGAAAACTTGCAGGACTTTTATCACCTATTCCTATCTGAAAAAAAAAGAAATAAGCCAATTCTCATAAAAAGTTTAAATTGATTATTTCACACTATTTTGCATGAATTTAATAGGCAGCACTTTAACTACTTTAACTAATTAACTACTTATTATTCTTATTAGCCATTTTGACATATCTAATCAGAGTGTGTGTTCGCCCTGAGTTCAGAATAAACTTTAATATTTTGCACGCCAAAAATCAATTGAAGCTTGAACAAATTTCAACCGGAAATAAGTATTAAGCATTAAAAGCATGCTTATCATAATTATATAGTAATAAAAATATCAATGTCTAAGCGATAAGAAAGTTTCAGTTCGGACTATTAAAAAAAAAATTGAATTTCTACTGTTTGACCTAGGCCTACAAATCAACATCTTTGAAGCAAATTTCTGTAGGTCCCCGTACATAAATATTTATTCTTATAATTGCTATAAATTATAAAAACTTATCAGAATTAAATGTGGTTCCCTTTGTTATTATATTATGACTTTGTGCTCCAATTTTAGATCATATAATCTGTGTCAGTAACACTTCTAACAATGTGAGTCAATAATAATCGGAAAGATTTTGTGAAATAATCGTATCATACACAATGCTTGGATCCTATATATCTATCAATAAGGATATAACGTGTATCTTACAGACTCTTTTTGTACGCTTAAGATACTTTTGTGTCACACTTATTTGTATGAATCTGTTTAGCACAGAATCTTACTTGCATTGCAAAGAAATGTTTGAATTTTGTCATATAGGTATTCAAGCTAGAAGTAAACTTAAGGGTCCTAGATAGCTTCGAAGTAAACAATATTTATATGCAAGCTACATAGAAAACCGACAAACAGATATTCCGGTCTTTTCTGTTGGCCACAATACAATTACGCTGTTGGCTGCGTCAGGAATATATCAATTACAAATTGCTTTCAAGCTAATTAACGTTAATTGTGTCACAGGTTTTCATAAAGGCGACATACGTCCATTTCTGGTTGAGGGACAACAAGTTGGGCTCATTAAATCGGATGTCCTCAAGCAGCTGCACAAGTACCCCGAAGTGTTTTGTATACGTGACTGTGAATATACCAAGCAGGTGAGTAATAGCACAAATAGCCGCTATGTAATCATCTTTAACCCTATTGTTAATATTTTGACAGGGTCTCGTCGAGCTAAATCCGGCATTCCGAGACTACAACGAGCGCACGGCACAACTGGAGAAGGTATTACGCGAACTGCGCAGCGATGGTTTGTTCTCAGCCTTGCAGGGATGGCGGGACGAGTGCTTTGAGGTCAAGTCCGAGCACAAGGCCCTGCTGAAGATGGAGCGAGCGGCGACACCGCTGTTTGGGGTCCGCAAATATGGTGTGGACATCAATGGTTATGTGAGGCATCCACAACACGGTCTGTGCATTTGGCTGCAGCAGCGCTCGAACACTAAAGAAACCTGGCCTGGCAAATGGGATAATATGGTGGGTGGTGGTCTTTCCGTTGGATATGGCATAATGGAGACGGCCATCAAGGAGGCCGCCGAGGAAGCATCCATTCCAAAAGATCTCGTCAAAAATTTGGTTTCAGCGGGCTGTGTCTCGTTCTTTTTTGAGAGCGATCAGGGCCTGTTTCCCAATACTGAATATGTATTTGATTTGGAACTGCCGGTAGACTTTGTGCCTCATAATGCGGATGGCGAGGTGCAGGCTTTCGAGCTGCTGCCAGCCAAAGAGTGTGTGGAGCGCGTATTTACGCCAGATTTCAAGACGACATCGGCGCCAGTTGTTATCGATTTCTTGATTCGACACGGCCACATTACAGCTGAGAAAGGTACGTTTGGGTTTTGCAGTATTGTATCACAAGCTTGGCATCATTGAATTGTACATCTTTTAGAGCTAAACTTTACGCAGATTGTGGAGCTACTTCATGTGCCGCTGCAGTCATTGTACACGTACAAAACACGCCTGGAGCAGAAGCTGCAGCAACATCAGGCGTCACTGCCCAATGACGATAACAACTGCAACTGCACCAGTTTACCCAGCAGTCCGCTGGAAAATGGGCACAACAAAAAGGAGGCAGCTTAGGCTGCAAATAGCACCGGATAATGGACAACGAATCGAGTGTTTAGCATGACCATTGCATTAAGAAGCTGTGGACTTGTTGGAGAGACTGCTATTGTAGTGGGATTTATGAAATCCATAAACAACAGCCAATATATAATATAATAACGCAAAACAAAATAATTAAGAAAAAGAAAAAAAAAACAAAAAAAACAACCAATCAATCAACCAAACGAAACGAAGCAAGTATAACCTATTAAACTAAATTATTAATTAATATATGTAATGGCAACACTTAATGTTAAATTTTATGTTTACATCGATGTGTGCAAGTCAAAGTGTTTGTGCTGTTTATATATATATATTTATATATATATTGGTATAAGCTTATATGGGTTACATATATATAAATATATTTATGAAATTATTTACAATATTTATTATATATACGTACCACATGCATAAGCATAAGCTAAATATACATATACACATATAACCTACTATATATTTGACAAAGCAGCGCGCATATAACTTAATAGTTTTGTGCTTTGATATTCCAATCATGTAATAATTGCAAACAAAATGACGACACATTCTTAGACTTTTTGTGAAGAAATTAAAACTAGAGATCAAAAACGGACAAGTTATATAAACATATATGCATATGTAACACATTTATATATGATAGTTAAAATATAAATTATATGTAACGAGATATTAAAATGACATTTACTATTATGTGTGTGTGTACCAAAGTGCTCAAACTTAAGCAAAAATGTAATATTAATTAGTTTTCTGTTGAATTTGTAAAACTTTTTTAACTTAATAAAATGAAATACTTAAACGACGTTTAATTCAATTTATCGCATCAAAGAGAACCGCGCTTTCTATCGAAATAGCAACTCTGCTGCCAGGGTTACGCAAACCACGCAAAATCATGAGCAGCCCTGATAAAACGTCAAATCATAATGAGTGTGGCAACGCCAAGCGGGTAGCCATCTTTCTTTCTTTCCCCAACTTCACGACCGCGTGGACGTCAATACGTAAAAGGTAAGCGAATATTTTGAACAAATTGCATTAAAATGCAATCGAATGCAGTTGAAACGCGCGTCAAAATGTGGTAACGTTTGCCCTGCATATGTACGTTGGTTCAGATGTTGCTAAACGTGTTTGTTTTTTGCAGGGAACCACAGCCAACAAAATGACCAACTCGAAGGGTTATCGTCGCGGCACCAGGGACATGTTCTCTCGCCCATTCCGTAAGCATGGTGTCATTCCCCTGTCCACATACATGCGCGTCTTCAAGAACGGCGACATTGTTGACATCAAGGGACACGGTGCTGTGCAGAAGGGTATGCCCTACAAGGCATACCACGGCAAAACTGGCCGCATCTTCAATGTCACACAACATGCCGTTGGTGTCATTGTAAACAAACGTGTGCGCGGCAAGGTTCTAGCCAAGCGCATCAACGTGCGCATCGAGCATGTGCATCACTCCAAGTGCCGTGAGGATTTCCTGCGCCGTGTTAAGGAGAACGAACGTCTGCTCAAGGATGCCAAGGAAAAGGGTAAATGGGTTACCCTAAAACGTCAGCCCGAGCAGCCAAAGAAGGCGCATTTCGTCAAGAAATTGGAAGAGCCCATCGCCCTGGCGCCAATTCCATATGAATTCGTTGCCTAAGCTTAATGAGGAAAGATGAGTTTGTTTACGATTTGTAACTGTGTAGATTGGTCGATTCTAAACTAAGTTTCAAATAGAATTGATTTTCTATATGATTGCTGTAAACAATCATTTGGCTGTGTTTTTTGTACAATCGGGGTGAATTTTACTGAAGGAATCGGCGAACCGGGTGAAGCAGCAAAGAGAACAGCTGTGATCGCGATGCTTCTTCTTGCTAGTTATTGAGACGCACATGTTTATCGGAAAAAAGTGTGAAATGAAAAATGGAAAATTTTGCAAAAGTTAAAATTGTCAACAGCTGTAACACTTGCGGCAAGTGCTTCTCCAAACCAGCACTTCTGCGTCGCCATCTGGTTGTGCACAGCATAGAGAAAGCATTTCCAGTAAGTCTTGCCATGTGCTCGGAAGCCCAGCTTGATTTTTAAATGAGTGTAATATATATTTGCAGTGCGACAGCTGCTCCAGTCGGTTCTCACAGAAAAGCTCACTGCAGCGTCACATACGCAATAAACACGATGCAGCAAAGGGAAGCGATGATTCCCAGGTGGCGCAACTTGCGCTGGCTGCTTTAAAACTTCTACAAACCAGCCACACAACAGACAATATAACTATAGGCCAACATATACCAGGCGCTCCGCAGGAGCAAGCAAATATTCAAGCTACGCTTGAGGAGAAAGCAGCTTCCGATGTGGTACTGCTCAGGGATAGGCTCAACCCAAATGGTGTCGGTCACATGCTGACCACGCAGCGCATACTGCGACAGAAGCCGAGTAGATGCTACTATGTATGTGAATATTGTGCCAAGGAGTTCAGTAAAAGCTACGACCTCATAAGGTAAGTTTAGAATTTAAGAACTGTCTGTGTTTTAGACATAAGCAACAAATACTTGCTGCTCGCCAGGCATCGTCGCTCGCACACCAAAGAAACACCATACCAATGCAGCCGCTGTCTGAAGCGTTTTGCCACCCAGACCAAGCTAAATGAGCATTACAAACGCTTGCATTGTACACTGAAAAAGCACGCCTGCAGCGAGTGCACCACCAGTTACGGCTCCAAAAATCGGTTGCACAAACACCTGGCTCAAGCACACCCGGATTTGGTTTACAGTTGCGTTCAGTGTAAACGAACCTTCCAATCGAAATCTGCCCGTGATGCACACGAGAAACATGAAGCCGATGCACAGGTGGCTCAACTCATACAGCTGGTGCCGCAGCCAGTTCTGACACAGCGCAGCTACAAGTGCGTTTACTGTGAAAAGCAATTCAAACGCAAGTTCAATTGTCGCACCCACATGCTGTTGCATTTAAGACGATTACTGGACGCGAACCAACTGAAACATAGTTGCCTGCAATGTGGCAAAAACTTTAAGAAACCCAACGATTTGGCGCGTCATCTGCTAACACACTCCAAGCTCAAGTTACACGTTTGTCAAGTGTGCCAAAAACACTTTACTCTTAAATCCACTTTGGTCAGGCATATGGAGACGCACCAGCCTCAGCGTGGCACAGTCAATTGCCAGGTGTGCGGAAAGTGCTATGCCTCCAAAACGTCGCTGCAGTTGCATCTGCGGTTGCACACCGGCGAACGACCCTTTAAATGTGAAATTTGCAGTGAAACGTTTCGAACCTCGGGCCACCGACTTGACCATATGCGCGCCGAGCGGCACAAGAATGCCTCCGCCAATTCACTTATCTTATGAGCTTTAGTAATATAAGTCTATATTTCATAAATATCAATTACTATTACATCTACGTCCCCACATTTTATTGGTTAAACCCAGGCGAAGCTCCATAGTAAAACTGTTTGTCAAATTGCTGACTCTTGGACAGATCGCTTAGCTTCTGTCGCTTATCCGCCAGTATGAAATCATCCTCTTCAATCATTTCCGAATCGCCACGTTTGCGACGCATAGTCTCCGCTATTACACAATCCGCTGTCTCCTCCAGTTCATGCACCTTATAGACTAGATAACTCGGCTCTATAAATTTGTTTGAACTGGAAAGAAAAATCAGAATTAAAGCCGATCATATATAGTAACTGATTTTAAGACTTACAGTGGTAGAATGTATGGATCAAAAGGGAAGAAAGTTTCCAGTGTTTCCTCCGGCATCAGTTTGTCATGACCATAGATGGTGGCCAGCTTGCGACGTGCATTACGCTCCAGCACAGTGTGACAATACGCCAATTGGTGGGTACGTGTGACGCCCGCAAATGCCGTGGCCACCGGTGGAAGGCAGTAGCGTAACGGATTAAAGTGGCACATGGCCAGCCGTGACAGCTGCAGTGTATTCAGCAAAGCCAAATCTAGGAAGCAAGACATATAAAGATAAGTAAAATCGCAGGAAGCGCTTGCATTTACAATTGCATACTCTTTTGATTGATTGTCAAATCTCGCGCCCGAAACGCGATTAAATAAAAGATGGCCTGGCAAACGGAGAAGAAAACCATGTTCGCTTTGAGCGAACAATTTTTGCTGCTAAACTCATCCGAGTCGTTTATGTAGTTGTTTGCCCAGTTGCTCAACTCCTTAAGGTAATAGGTGATTGTGCTGGAATGAATTAAAAACTTTAGTTCGGTTCTCACAACTAAATCTAAAGCAAACTTACCCCAGAGGCACAAATTTGGCACGTGCCAAAAAACTAGCTATGTAGCTAACAGCTGCGTGGCGAATGATAGAGGAAACATTGGGATTCTGCACCTTATGCCATAAAGCACTGAGAAAGATCTCAGTATATGCTGGGCGAATGCTGCACGCATAAAAGATGACGAACTGAACGTGGTGAGTGTTATGGCTGGGCAGCAAAACCTCTTCGAATATGTGGACAAGCGTCTTAAAGAAGCGACTTTTGGCTATGCGCTGATCATCGGTGCAATCGGGCTTCGGGCGGCATTTTTCATCCAGGAATTTAAAAAGCTTCAGTAGGCATATGTCCAGCATGTGGCCTATAGGATGTTCTAGAGATTGTGGCGGTTTTGGCGGTGCGTTTATATCATCCATTTGAAAAATTGCTTGCTCTTCCATTTTATCATCTTCGTCATCGGTGTCCTCCTTAAGCGCTTCGATTTCATCTCGTGGTGCATTTACGTCCAGTACCAGCAACCTATTAAAGATTTAAAAATAAGTAAATTGCGTGCTTAAGTAATAATTTAAAATGATAACTTACTTCTGCAGAACCAGCTGCACTAACAACTCTTCGAATACCGGCTTGTATTCCATGAGCCACAGTACATTGTGCAAATAGCCAGCCGTGACATGAGCTGGCTTTTTAAAGTATGGAAACTTAGAGGCGATCGTATCGATGACCACATCAAAGCTCATGGGCACAGCGGTGAGAATGCGATTGAGTAAACTGTGAACAGTTTCCAATTCAGCTCGTACACGTTCCGAAGGGCAACCATTGAGCCATTCCGCCGATTCTTGATCATTAGGTATCCAATTTAAAATTAATTTGCCAATGCCAATATGTATATACGAATTGTGGGCAATCATAACATCGACGCTGAATTCGGTATATGCCTGAATGGCGTCCGAGCTGTACTTCTTCCAGTTAAGTGAGAGTAGTGCCTCAACTAGATTGGCAAATTCCGGTGTCAGGCTGTGCACGATTTTGCGCGCATCCTTCATGATTTGAACAACCTCATCATCCTGTAAATGAAAACATTTATAGAAAAAGCATATGCATATGTATATAATGTTATTTACTTACACTAAGATCAGCCTCGCACAGAAAGTATGTGAACTCCTGAATCAGATGGAAGTTATTTTCCTCTAAAGCGACACGCACCGATTCAACGATGCCCTTCTCCTTGGGCGTTACAAAGCGCACCTTGTTAAGGGCCGCTGTCTTGACGCGCTCACGATCTGCGCTGGAAAAGGACTTCAATATGGACGTATTGGTCGTTTTGCTGCTGTAGACAGACATTGCGCGAAACACTAACGTATCTAAATTTAAAAGAGTATTTCCTAATAATACGCAATTACACGTTCGACAAAGGCCAAATTAACTATGTATATAGTTAACTGCGCTTATTTGCCGAGTTTAACCTGTATTTCTACGTTTTATAAATTAAACAGCAACCAAAATACTCTACGAACAATGTGTTAATGGAAACTGGCATTATAGTTAGCTATTTTATTTATTTTCAAAACTATTCTGCTAACGTACGTCTGCAGCTGAAATCAAAACACGTGTGGCAGATCCAGTGTGACCAAATTTTGCTTATGTTTGCGATTATTACCATAGTGTCATTCACAACGAAACGGCAACTGTACAAGTCAACGCCGAATGAGCAGCACGTTTTTGTTTTACGTGCTAAAAAACCAGACAGAATGGCTTCGTTATTTACGTTGGACACAAATGGCGACCAGCAATTGTTCAGTGCAGATAATATACAGTACTCCGCTCCATTGTACAATGGCATTTTTGAAGATCGTCAACAGGAGGACAGCGAAGAAGACGATGACCAGGAAGATGGTGAAATGGAATTATTTGGCGTCAAGATAAGCTGCAAGGATGTTAGCAAAGTAGTCGCCGCTGCCGCCACACAGGAGACGGCAAAACGAGTGTCATCCGGGGTGGCGATACAGCTGAATGAAGTTGCTGAGAAGGTTAACGAGGCATCACAAAACGCGGGTGCACACAAACTGCAGAAACGTCAACGCAACACAACAGAAATAGACAACGAGATTAGCGAGGATGTGAATGTGCGGAAAGCAAACTTGGAAAAGGATATGCAAAAAACGAAGCAATTAAACGGCATTGAGCAGCTTAAAGCCCTACCCACAGTCTCAAGACGCAAGCAGCCCATACTGAACAGAGTAAGTTTTTCAACACTTTTGGCGTGGATTATAAGCTGAGCATCTGTGATGACATATTCGACAACCGAAGCTGCGCCAATGAGCGCGGCAAGCGCACACTCCTGCTGCTCGAGGCGACTGTTGTGTAACCAGAGACTCACTCACAGACAATAGCACACAGTTTCGTTCGTTGTAATCTTAGCGGCTGGCTCAGAGCATGTAGCGGTTGCTGTAAGGCCAACGGAACAGCAATGCCATTTAATGCTAGACTGTTATTTGTCATTAAGTCAAGACAAATGATTTAGGCTTGGGCGTACAATCTTTATTTTTTATTGAAACAGTGCTATTGTCGCCCAAAACACACAGCAGTAGCTGAGGCAGGTTTTGTTGCCACATTGACGACGTCTTTAGTAATCTGAGTGCTCATCCATGCCAAATATTTGTATTTAAAATACGAGCTTTCCATGTATAAACAAATTTGTATACGTACAGGCCGAGCGAGCAAAGACGAAGGGCAGCGGCTGGTTTGATTTGCCGGCTACAGAAGTCACTGATGAGATGCGCAATGAACTGAAGATTATACAAATGCGTTCCGTGCTGGATCCCAAGCATTTCTATAAGAAGAACGACCTTAAGGTGTTGCCCAAGTACTTCCAAATCGGTACAGTCCAGCACTCGCCACTTGATCATTATAGCGAGCGGCATACGCGGAAGACCAAAAAGTCACTGGTGGATGAACTGCTTGAGGACGAGGCCTTTCAAAAGTTTAACAAACGGAAGTACAAGGAGGTGATAAAGCGTACGGAAAAATACGCACATCGAAAAGCCTTAAAAAAGATGAAGAAACTGAAGAAACATAAATAAATATAACTACTTTCATATCGATTTGGACGCGTGTCAAATGTTCTCTCGTTACGCGATTCCTTAAGATCAGGATTTAATTACAACTTTTTTGACTCCATTAAGTACGTGTAAGTACGAAAAGGCTAGCAAACTTGGCATTTATATTCATCAAGACTGATAAAACTTAAAATATAACCGTGCAAGGCTTTTGATTCTTTAGCAACATGCTTGCCAAAATTATTAATTAGCGTCTAATTGAACTCCCTAAGTATTACTTTTCGTCTCGTTCTTTGTTTCATTTGTTTTTTGGTTCTCTTCCAATATACTCCATATATGGCGCGCAAGCTGACTAAAGAGCTTTGCATGTTCAGAGTCTGGATTTTTAATTACAACGGGTACGCCTGTTTCGCCGCAATCTGCAATATGTGAGTCTAGAGGCAATGAAATGAGAGTCTTTGGCAGCCTCTTGTGTGGAGCTTCAGTTTGTTTCTTGAAGAATTCGATGCGATGATTGCAATTGTCACAGATGGAGTAGCGCATATTCTCAACCAGGCCAAGGATAGGCACCTTCAGTTTTTGATACATTTCAGCACCACGGACTGTTACATCCACTGCCGCTTTGTGCGGGGTGCTGACCAATATGACGCCTGTGATTGGTGCAAGCTGTGTCAGTGAGAGATGCACATCTCCAGTGCCGGGCGGCGTATCAATGACCAGAACATCCAGTGGACTCCACTCGGCGCCCTTGAGTAGACGCTGTACGGCTGACATGACCAGCGGGCCGCGCCAAATAATGGCACCATCGGGCGGCGTTATCATGCCCATTGACAGGCACTTGACATTATAGTTCTGGGGCGGTAACATTAGATTCTTCTCATTAATCCGCGGCTCACTGTGCACGTTCATCAGCAATGGTATGCTTGGTCCAAAAATGTCGCCATCCAACAGCCCAACACGCACTCCCAACTTGGCCAAACTGCAGGCGAAATTTGCTGCAATAAATTTGGTTCTTGTCTCAACTTTTTTTTATCCCTAAGATATGACCCGCTGACCTGCCACAGTACTTTTGCCCACACCACCCTTGCCAGAGGCTACCACTATAATGTTCTGGACGCCAGGCAGCGGTTCCCGCTTGGGCAAGCCACGGGCCATCATCGTCACCTGGTGATCTTTCAGTTTTGTCGCATAGCTACGCCTACACAGGCGCAACATTAAGGTCATTTTTACTAGATGCCAAGATGTTGTTATGTTAAAAAACTTCCAGATAAATTACTTTTAAAATTGTCTCAATCGTTACGCTACCGAAATGGACGGTTCAACTAGAGATGAGCAATCACACAGACAGTATATCTTAAAAATGTAAATATAAGGTATTGTACAGTATTTAGTATTGATTTCATAGGATTTTATTTTAATTAAGGATTGTGCCATTTATTTTTCTAAAGTTTGGTCACATTGGCTATATAGTATTATCAGTTCATTGCATTTGAATATATGTAGTTCGTATTTGGAAAATGATGGAAATAGACGAACCAATTGAACCTGGGATTGTGGAAGATGACGATGATGCACTCTGGTCTATTGACGATGATACACTGTTTCAACCGTGTGGTCTAATCAGTCACTCTTCATCCAGCAACAACAAAACAAAATCTGTTTTCGTCACATGGAACGAGTATTACCTGCTGAATTATCGCTTTAAGAGATCGAAGAAAACAAACAGAATGGAAATGACAAAAGTACGCATTCCACTGCCCAGGGGTAATCATCTGACTAGCATTCATATGTTAGAATACAACACCCTGTTGCTAATGTCGGACGGACGAGTTCATTGTTTTGGCTCCATAAAATCGCTGCACCTAATCTCCTGGCTGAAAGGTGTGCGTGCATTTGCGCGAACTCATGAAGGATTCAGCGTGATACGCCACGATGAGGATACGCAACAGTTGCTGCTGCAGGTCTACGTCGATTTACCCAGTCTGAGCAAGGGAGAAACCACCCTGCAGAACTGCTACGACATAACCTACGATGAGCAAAATATATTCCAATGCGATTGGCAGAACGATTCCTATACATTGCTAACGATAACAGTTGCCAAACAGCATGAGCAATTCATGCAGTGCCTCTTTGGTGCAGTGGCAACTGCGGATAAGCAGATACACATATTCAGTATTGCCGGCCACGTATTTGTGCTTATGCCACGGGATGAAGATGCAGTTGACGATGCAAGTGCGGATGCGGACTCGGAGCAGACATACCACATTGAGCTTCTATGCATATATCCCACTTCTGTTAAGTTTATGCATTTACTGCCCTCACAAAATCTATGCTTGGTTTATCTGAGCTGCGGCAGCGTGGACATTTGGTACATGTCCCGATTACTGAGCATAAAACAGCGCCAAATGTACTACACCGGCAGCGAATGGTTGGACTACGATGTCACCAGCGAAAACGGAGACTTCTATTATACAGATGGGGAGCAGTTGGTGCGTTTGAGATTTCAATATGATGCCGTGCTAGATGATTGCCAGGTGCAACGCTGTGTAAAGCCAGTGCCAGGCATGCAAGCTTGCACCTGGGTGCAACACATTGAGCAGCTGGTGTGCCTTAGCGACAATAACATATTCTATCGGATCGCATTTAGCGTTGAGCAAGTGGCAGATGAAGATCTAAGTGCGCTAAGCGATCTAACGCCCACAGCCATGGAGCAACTGCGTTGTAATGCACAAGTTCTGCAGCAATACGAGCGGCAGCCAGCTGAGCTTTTGGCAGCCATACAGCGTGAGCACGAAAAACAACAGCTTGTAGCCGTTGCACGCAATGAAACTAGCTTCGAGAGTAGTTTGGAGGCAACGTTGGAGTTTCGTAGACAAGTGCCTGTCTTTGGAGCTGATTCACTGCTGTTATATACATCCCGAGAGACGCAACTTGATAGCAATAACATATATGCCATTTTGCAATTGACATTGCGCAGTAGCCAAAAACTGCTCCACAGTAGCCACTGGCAATTGCTCGTTTACCATGGCCATAATGCCCACGTGCACCGTGTGCCCACGGATTTGCTGTTAAGCCGCAATTGTAGAATTATAATACCGCTTAATAAAGCGTTCCATGAGCGTTTGCCTAAGTTTGAGGTTAAGCTCGTGGCGTTTCTGGAGCTGCATACACAAATCAGTGCCATCTTACTGCCGATAAAGTTGAAGGAGAACAGCAATACATATCGGGCGCTATTTAGTGGACAACTTTACTCCCTTAATCTGTATAACAAACAGCAATTGCCAGACATGCTTGCCAAGAAAAGCGCAACGAAAATAAAACCAAAAATTAAACAGAAAATGACAACGCCTGGTAGCCTTAATTTAGAGCAAATCGCTGGAATTTGCAATGCCAGTGCGAGGATTGAAAATGAGCTAGATTTGTACTTTATAGACAGTAAGCTGAGCATTGAAGGCAGCGTGAAGGATAACAAAACAGTTTTAACTATTCAAAGTGAAGATGTTACTGCAGTCTATCATTTCAAGCAACATTTATTTTTAAATGTGGATCCTGAATATGATCATACAGCGCCGGATGAAGCTGCTCGGCTAAAAGTGATGGTAAATATAATTTGGACAATTAAAAACATTCTTTAAAATTTGTGTATTTACAGAAGCTTCAGCAAGAAATTGAACGATTTTATGGCAGTCAATATGCTGATAAGGAGTTTGAAGTAAATCCCGAAATACATTTAGAATCATTGTTACTTAAATATAATACACTACGTAATACTGTTTTTTAAATATTCTAGTCTTTTAAATTACGATCGTTTTCGCGCGTATATTAAACTTTCACAGTGGCGCCATCTGGCGCATTTTCAAATCCGACGCTAAGTTAGCTGCGGCCGAAATGTCAACGATGCAAAATACGACCCTGCTTCTGAGCGGCCTGTCAGCTTCTTCCTTTTTCTTTTTCACCTACGTGTGAAGACATCGCGTATTTTACGTCGGTGTTTGATTTTCATTAAAAAGTGAAAAATGGTGAGCACAATCAATTAAATAATGCAACAAACATCTTAATTAATGTGTTTGCTAGTGAAAATTAATAAATGTACACAGAAGCAGTGACTGATGCAATGCTAATTGAGCGATTAACTTTGTGCTGTTCATGCTAAGAAAGCAGTAATCAATATTAAATTGTGTTTTTTTGTTCTTAACAGGGTTTCGTCAAGGTAGTCAAGAACAAGCAGTACTTTAAGCGGTACCAGGTTAAATTCCGCAGGCGCCGTGAGGGCAAAACCGATTACTATGCCAGAAAGCGTTTGACTTTCCAGGACAAGAATAAGTACAACACGCCCAAGTACCGTTTGATTGTGCGTCTGTCCAACAAGGATATCACCGCTCAAATCGCTTACGCTCGCATTGAGGGCGATCGTGTTGTCTGCTCTGCCTACTCTCATGAGCTACCCAACTATGGCATCCAGGTAAGTCTATTGAAATTATAATAAAATAAAAAATGCAAACTGATGTTTACAATAATAATTACAGGTCGGTTTAACCAACTACGCCGCCGCCTACTGCACGGGTCTTTTGGTTGCACGTCGTCTGCTGAACAAGTTGGGTTTGGACTCGTTGTACGCTGGCTGCACCGAGGTCACCGGTGAGGAATTCAACGTTGAGCCCGTCGATGAGGGACCAGGAGCATTCCGTTGCTACTTGGATGTGGGCTTGGCACGCACCACCACTGGTGCCCGTGTGTTTGGCGCCATGAAGGGTGCTGTCGATGGTGGTCTGAACATCCCCCACTCGGTGAAACGTTTCCCAGGCTACTCTGCCGAGACCAAGAGCTTCAACGCCGATGTGCACCGTGCCCATATCTTTGGTCAGCATGTGGCCGACTATATGCGTACCTTGGAGGAGGAGGATGAGGAGGCTTTCAAGCGTCAGTTCAGTCGTTACATCAAGTTGGGCATCCGTGCTGACAACGTGAGTAAATTTTTTTAAAACGCACTAAAAAAAGTACACGTCCATTTACAAAATTACTGCTGCGTTTTGCATTCTACAACGCTGGCTGTGCCAAAAGTGGACCACAGTAAAATCCAGAAACCCGTGTTCGTAGTTCTTCCCTCTTCAATGGGTTGAACCTTCTGTTTGCGGTTGCACATTGTAATATAAGATAATTGTACCTTAAGATTCCTAATGCTTAGATTAATGTTAAAAACAGTAGACGTCCATTTAAAAAATTACTGCTGCGTTTTGCATTCTACAACGCTGGCTGTGCCAAAAGTGGACCACAGTGAAATCCAGGAACCCGTGTTCGTAGTTCATCCCTCTTCTATGGGTTAAACCTTCTGTTTGCGGTTGCACATTGTTATAAAGAACAAATATACCTTAAATTCCCTAGATTAATCTTAAAAATAGTAGACGTCCATTTACAAAATTACTGCTGCGTTTTGAAACCTACAACGCTGGCTGTGCCAAAAGTGGACCACAGTAAAATTCAGAAACCCGTGTTCGTAGTTCATCCCTCTTCTATGGGTTAAACCTTCTGTTTGCGGTTGCACATTTAATATAGAATAAATATGTTGTTAATTGCTTATTCCCTAGATTAATCTTTCTCATTTATTCTTATGTAGATTGAGGACATCTACAAGAAGGCCCATCAGGCCATCCGCAACGATCCAACCCAGAAGAAGGCCGCTGCTAAGAAGTCGGCTCCTGCCAAGAAGAGGTGGAACGCCAAGAAACTCACGAATGAGGAGCGCAAGACCAAGATCGCCGCCCACAAGGCTGCCTATGTGGCTAAGCTTCAGTCTGAGACTGAGGCCTAAGGGCATTTGACTACCGTTTGCAGTGTGTATTGGGGGTAAAAAAGAAATAAACAAACAATTGTAATGAGAAACAATTGCCAATATGTCATGCATAAATTGTAAGTTTCTAAACAAGACCACGTTTTTATTTATTTATCTCGTTGCAATGGTTTAGTAGATTGATATATGCACATGTGATGTATATTTTTAGTGGTTCTCAAGTATATTGCTGTTGTGCAATGACCATCTTGTTACTTGGAAAATATCTATGTGCTTCAGAATTAAGATTGCATGGCAATGGCCACTGTTGAGCTTTCGGAAAGAAGGATCTATTTTGTGTAGGTGTGGGGATTTGAAGAAATCGATGTCTTAATAAATTTCATTTTAAATACCAAATGAAAATTTATAAGCCGACACTTATTTTTTCACTCGACGGGATCTTATATTTTACAGAAAGCATTTTCTAAAATTTGAATGCAGCATCGCTTTATCTCCTGTGCATAAGACAATATTGAGGGGGCCCCGGACAACGCAGTAAAGTTGTTAATTTTTAGTCCTAGGTTCGAGTCTGGCCGCTGCCAACATTTAAACAAAAGATTGCGAAAGCATCGCGAGCCTATTAAGCTGAAGAGACTGTATTAGGCAGTTAGATGTCATAACCTGCGCTAGTGCAGAAGGAAGAAGCTAGGTACGTTAATTGGTGCATTATCCCAGGTTCAATTCACCCAACTTTTAGCTAAAAATTTAAAAAATAATGTTCTGTAAATACGACATTCAACTGGCCTTACCCAAGAGCTCTTGTGGTGGACTAGATGGATGCTCGGCCTGAAGTAATTATTGTAAGTATACCCCCCAAGGTACGGATCCCAACCAAGGAATTTATAAGTGAGTAAAAACAACACCAGTACACCACACCGAATTATTTGTTATAAATAGATAAAATTTAACTGAGTTTATTCTAATACAATAATTCTCTTTCTCCCTCGATCTTGATTCCAGCGTAAGCAGCAATTTAATTACTCTTTCCCTCCTCCCTAGCTAGCGCGTCCGCCCACCCATCCAGAATCAGCCAGGCCCCCACAAGCCAAGCCCCCTCCCACTATTCACACTTCATTCAACCCAACCAAAAAATCACCTTCAGTGGGACACCGCCCCCACCCCCCCCCCCCCCCCCCCCTCCCCCCGTCCGCCCCGGCCCGACTAAGTTTATAGTGTTCTACCAGTCTTCTACGTAAGAAATCAGCTGGGGCGCGCTCTCGCTGGTGGGTGCGCGCGCTCTCTCTAACACTAAAACCAATTTTTTGTTGTTGTATATATATATATATATATATGCTTGCAACATAAAATCGATATTGTATCTCAGCCATTTGACGGACGATTTTGACGTCCTTTTGTAGATTGATCTAGATAGCCTTAATAATACTGAATATGTATTTCATTCAGGACTATTTCTTTTTTGCTGTCCTCAGGAGGTTTCGCATGCAGGATTTTGTGTTTTTGGCAAACTGTTGCAAAGCCTTCTGCACATTTTTTCACGTATTTAATTAGCTGGCAGGGTAATCTTTCCCTTTTAGTAAACAAAAGATGAAGCCCAGTAGACTGCACATTAAATAATTTTTAATAAATCAATAAATAAATTAAAATAAACAAAAAGCTACCAAATGTATACATTACATGAACATGATACAAAATGTTTCTGAATGTCGCTCAATACATGGTAATAAACCGCTTTCAGACTTCCATTAATTGTCGTTTTGTGTGTTTATTTGTCATTGCCTATTAATCGTCCTCGTCCAATATACTATCCCAATCCAAGCACACGTCGCAATGATTGTCGATCACGCAGTTGTTATGATAAATGTGTCCACAGTTAAATATAGTAAGGCCATTGGGAGGAACGGTGTCCTTTATTATCACTGAACGACTACATTTTGGGCACACTTTGTCATAGGAGACGTGGCGGCCGCGACGCTGCATGGCCACCACCTCGGCCTGAGTGTCAAAATAATCGGTCAATTGGATTTGATGAGCAATTGTGTTTACTTCTTCCTCAATATTGTAGTGCCACAGCATTTTGACAACAGATTGATGGAGATTCGGTATTGTTTGACCCAATTTAATCTTGCTAACTACCAATACGGGATTGACATAATCTATGAAAGAATCTCATTAAATTGGTTAAATAAAATTAATAAATAAAATTCAAACTAAACACTTGCCCACAATACCATCCAGCACTTTCGTTACTATTTCTGGCTGTTTGATGGACTCATCAATGAGTATGTTCCACAGATCGTCATCATTATGCTCCTTGCAAAACTCAATTGCCATCTCAATGTCTTTTATCTGAAATTGCGAATCGTTAAGTGAAACAATTTTTAGAAATCTTATACAGACACCTACTTTATGCATGATTATGTTGAGTGCCTCCACGATGCTGCCCATGCGGGCCAGCAAATATACCATTTCTGGATAAAACTCTTCACGTTTGCATATCGCCAGTGCATTTTGTATTCCATAATCATTGGAGCGACGTAGAAATGGCAAAAGTTTTGGCCGATCATATTTAGCATACAGGGCAACTAACTTCGGGTGGAATGTGCCTTGACTGTCAATCTTGTCCAGCTCATCCAGGAACTGAAATAAATGTTTAAAGTTTAGCTTTGAATATATTGCAAGGGTCTGTACCCACGTACCCAGTAGAGGTATTCCTGATTTTGTTCCAATTGATGTACAACCACTTCGGGCTTTATTTTGTCCTTATCTAATAATATTTTAAAGGCACGTTCGCGATCCAGTTGAATGAGTGGAATGATTAATTTGGAGATGACATCATATAGTTCAAAGCGTCGGATTAGCAGAAAAACATCCTTGTTCTGCAATCTAATCAAAGGGAAAGTTATAGTAAATATATTTCTAAGAATAGCAATGTAAGTTTTTGCTTACTTCAAATACATGCGCAAAGCGCTCTCATAGTCGCTTTGGTAGGAGTAGAGGAGGGCCAAAGCCTCGAGCAGCTCATTCGCATTCTGTTTGCGAAAATGATCATGTATGGCGTTTATCACGGCCAAGCCATCGTAGAGCTTTGGCGGCCACTCTTTGATTAAATTTAGAAAACCATGCACATCAAACTTGAGGAACTCATAGAGCACCATTTCATAGACATGCGGATCCAGTTTACAATCATCCGATGTGGGTAAATAGGCGCTCACGCAGCGCAGCTGCTGGCACTTGACAAACTTGAAGACCTCCTCCTCCCACAGGGCTTTGTTGTTGCCCAGTACTCGCAGGCATAGCTTGGCCGCCTCTTCGTATTGCTTCAACGTCAACAGGTGGTTTATGTACAGTCTTTAAAGAATGAAATTGTATCAATATATGTAGAAGTAACTGAAAACTCATTTCTTACCTGGCTACTGAGAGCATTGGCAATGAACATCCATGTGTGCATATCTCCAAGGCCTCCTCAAATTTGCTGCAAAAAAAAATAAATATTGGTGGTAAAGCAAAGTATAACTTTTCATTTCCAGTGGTGATATTAATTTGCTATTTATTTAAATTCCTGGTTCTTACTTGCCAAAAAATAGGCATAAAATCACCACAGTGCACTACCGCGATACCTGTAGTTGGTATCGATAAATCGATAACCCGACAAAAGTATCGCTCAGCTGTTTGTTAAATTCGCGACGAATCGAGCAGAACATTTATTTATTTTAATATCGCAATAAAAAGCATTTTTTAAAAATGCGTCGCTTAAACAACCTGGTTACGCTTTTTACGGCAATAGTAGCGTTCTTTTTTGGTAGTTTTATTACACGTATTCTGACCATAGTAGACAAATGCCCGGCACCGCGAAGTGGTGTGGCCAAACTCGATCCACATCCAGATTTATTTCTAGTGATACTTGTGTTCAGTGCGCCAGGCAATGCCGAGCAACGTGAAGGCATGCGCGAGACCTGGCTCCGTCTGGGGCAGCCACTTAAGCAACCATACTATCCCGAGGAGTACATCTACCTGCCCAGTTACAGCACAGCCGGCGGGCATTTGCAAATGGAAACCGTTGCATCGCAGGCCCAACGACTGCAGCACTACATAAATTGGCAGAAGCAGCTGCCACAGTTGGAGCAGCCACGTGTGCATCGCAACATCAAGTTGAAGCATCTGTTTGCCATTGGCACACAGCAAATGGGAGCGACGTTGCGCGCCGAATTGGAGCATGAGCAGAGCCAGCATCACGACTTGCTGCTGCTACCGCGCCTGCACGATGACTATATGAATCTGACGGAGAAGCTAATGCAGTCGCTGGACGCGTTGACCCGTTACTATGAATTCTCATATCTGCTTAAAGTGGACGATGACACCTATGTGAAGCTGGACAATCTACTCAACGAACTTGTCTCCTATGACCGTAAGCTTTTAAGAAAGAGACCGAACTATGAACATGAGCCGCTGCCAGAGCTCTACTGGGGCTATTTCAATGGACGCGCTACGATTAAGACCAAAGGTCACTGGCGCGAGTCTAATTATTATATTAGCAAAAATTACATAAACTATGCACTGGGCGGCGGCTATGTGCTATCCCGCAAGCTATGCGAAAATGTGGTCAATAATTCTCATTTGCTGTCAAGCTATGTGTCCGAAGACGCCTCCCTCGGCACATGGTTGGCGCCACTGCGTCATGTCTATCGATGGCATGATGCACGCTTTGATACCGCCTACACGCCAAGCAAGTGTCGATCGTATCATCTGGTGCTGCACAAGCGCAACCCGCAGCAAATGCATGACATTTACGCTGGCAAGCTGTGCACCCACGAGAATCCTGGTCAGCGTGTATTTGTCTCCTACTATTACGATTGGACAAAGCCAGCGGACAAGTGCTGTGACAGCATTGTAGTGTAGTTGATACCTAACTGATTATCCCACTGATATCCCAGTTGCCATAACCAAAGATATAAGCTAAGTATTGTGATTAAGATATTCTTAGGGAAGTATTCAATAAATTGCTCCTATGGCAGCAGTATCATAGATTTTACCCGTTGTTTTTATGCAAAGTGAATACTAAGCCGGAAATGGATACCCTCCACCGAGGGCTTATCTTGCGAAAAGGGTAAAAACTGTCTCAAGTTCATAATGTGTCTTCTATGATGGTGAAGGTCATGATCATGGTTCAAAATATGGTCAAGTTGTAGGAATAATCCTTCTATACCTAAAATGTTATGCTTCTCACATTTGTATATGCTTCGAATTAGCTAACGAAAGCCGTCTTGGTCATGTAAGATTAAAATACCCCACATAAGAGTTAGTTTACATACTTGTGTTTGATAAGCCATTCGACGCGATCGTCTGTTTCAATGAGACTGGCCACCACAATATCCTTGGGCGCCACAATGTAGTAGCGATTCTCCTCCATGATGCAACCCAGGCTATAATCGTTGACCGTATACTCCTCGAAGCCGCGTAAGGTCAGGCTATCTGTGCACACCTCCTCGCATGTGTTCATTTTGTATTCAATGACGCACAGCACTGGCCGTAGAGCTTTATAGTTGGGGCTACGATCCTTGCGATAGCCCAGGACCACCAGCTGGCTGGCAGCCAGGGGGGCCAGTCCACACACATAAAAAGTGGTTTGAAATGTTGAGACTGCAAAATAAGATTAACTATGTTAACAGTAATGGCAAGCAGCATCATAAGTACGCGCACCTGGGTCCACGACAAAGCCCGGCAAATTGCTGGAGGATGCTTCGATGGTATTGCGCTTACGAATTACACAAATGCGTATTGTGTCCACCCAGCCGATGAGCAGCGTATTGGTATTGGACCAGCGCAGGTGGCAGCGAAAGTTTTCGAGTCGCGCCTGTGCCGGCACCTCCCATTTCATAAGGCCCAGAGAACACTTCTCGCTTAGATCATACACACGCACTCCCAAGTGACTGGCCCAAGCAACCAAATTGCCCTGCCAGCAGATAGCCAGAACACTTCCCTCAACTGCGCACAATTCGCAAGGTTTCAGCTTCTTGAGTAAGTTGCGTTCGTAAAGCGTAAGCTTGTCGTCACCTGAAATGGAACAAAACAATCACGTTATTTAAGGCAAGCAAAAAGAGATATTAATCTTTGGATTGAATACTCTAACAGATATTGTTGTTTATTTAATCGCAATTTCTGTGATGAGCCTCAAAGTAGTTGAATTAAAGGAAATGTGGGTTTATCTTGGACATTTTTGAACTGTTGATCTGGTTGTCGACGGATAAGAAAAAAAGAAAGGGCACACCGAAGACTCAACACCCTTGTAGCAATATGGAACAGTAAATCTGACAGTTGCTACGTGAACATATCTACACAGCCCAAACCGTTTTCTCTAAAAAAAAACTTCTTATTCGATCGATTCTTTCAGCTATACTGAAACTCATATGTGTTACACAGATTGGAACCTTGCACAACAAACCAGCCTGTTAAGAGTCCATTTTCTGTACACATTACACATTAATACACTATAAAGAAACAAAAGGTAACACTCACCCACTATAAATCGTCGCACCCCCGATTTGACTTCAGGGTCCAGGGCAACGACTTTTATGAACTTGCCATGACTAAGGTTCTGATTATTCTCACAGCTGAACAAGCCCGTAATATTGACCTGAAAATATCGCAAATAAAAATACTATTGAAGCCCCTATTAATTAGTAACACCCTTTCAGTGACTCACGCGTCCGTCATCGGAGCAGGTGGCAACATATTCACCCTTAGGATCCACATCAATGTGATTAACGGCCACTGAGTGTGTGTGGCGATCGCCGCTGCTCAGGTTCGAGTCCACAGAGTTGCCCTGGTGATCCAGCAGATAAACTCGCCCCCGAAATGTGCCAAATATAAGAAACTGCCAGAGGTGCTAGTTAAAACACTTAATAATTGATTGATCTAGTCAGAGATTACCTTTGAATGGACGGCACTGCAGGTAACCACGTCTGTGTTGAGTATATTCCTGAGATCATTTCCAATGCGCTGGTACTTGAACTTTGGTTCAACCTCTTCCTCCTCATCGGTGCCCGAGTCCTAGACGATTAAAAGGCGTTGCGAAATGATTGTTTTACTGTTGGCAACGCACTTACGCTGTTAATTGGCAAAGTCTCGGCCATTTTTACGTCTTTCCATGTAAATTCGCGTTCTTATCAAAACATCTTCGTGCCAGAGTGACCGCATTTCGCATTCAACAGCTGTCTTGCCGTTCACACATTCCATTTCTGGTTAGACTAAAAAAAAGCAACTCTGCGGTCGATAAGTATCGAAGAGGATTTCTAATGCAGCTTACATCTGCCTATCGATAGCTACATCTGCGCCACTTTTAAAGTTTAATTACAATCCAAACAATTATCACGTTAGTTTTATATGTATATATATATATATATATTTCTAAAGTTATATTATTGGTGTTTGTATAAATGCGCTTAATTATTGTTTTTTTTTTTTTATCGCGTATTTCCTTTACATTACAAGTGATAGCAAAACATACAAAAATGTAAAACAAAAGCGAAAGCATCCGAAAACATAATTAACAATTTATGAAAATATACACAACATGCATTTATTCATTATTTATAATCAATTAAAATACTAATTAAAAACACTTTAAAAATACCAATAAAATATATGTATGTGTGTATGTAAATGTACCTTTCTTTAAAAAATATATATATATATGCGTTGAAAGAATATAAAGTAGCGAACCGTAAACGGTCTGGAAATTGGAATTTCTGAAAACTGTCTGCAACGTCTTTCTGTTCCGTTCACGTTGTTCTATGTCCTCTAGTTCGTTTGTTGTTGCTCTTTTTTAACGACAATGTGTGCCGTAGTTTAAGTGTTAGTTTGTATAAATAATAAATTAAGGCCTATAGAATAGCGCTAAATTACATAATACAAAAACTACTAGATGTCGGCTTTCGAGGCGTAACTGCTGCTTAAACACCCCAAACGGCGACGATTCATCTGCTAAAGTCGCCATCGCCACCACCGCAGCCGTTATTCTCAGTGTCCATTGTCCAATAATGATCTAGTATATCTTCGCTGGTAAAACGAACATCCGGATCTGACTGCAGCATATTGGCGATTAGATCGCGCACACCGTCGCCGATGTCCGACCAGTAGGGATCGGGAAACTCATAAACGCCCGAGATGATAGCATCAAACAGCGGCTCCTGCTGGTTATCAGGCGCAACAAAAGGCGGAAAACCGCAGAGCAGTATGTACAATATGATGCCAGCAGCCCAAACGTCAATCTGTGAACAATCAACGGATTAATAAGAGTTCTCCATTGTACAAAATGCTGAGTTTTTTACCTTTAAGCCGTAACCCACTTCCAACAGTATTTCGGGCGCCACATAGGTGGGAGTGCCGCACACGGCATAGAGCGGTTCGGTTACCTCACAGGCCAGTCCAAAGTCGGCCAATTTAAGTTGGACAACATTGCCAGACGCGTCCAGTTCCACCTGCAGCAGGAATAATTAATTGTCGTCAAGAATTTTTGAGTCTTCCTACACACTCAAAGCTTACCAGAAGATTTTCCGGTTTGATATCCCTATGCACAATGCTCATGGAATGTAAATAAGACATGGCCGAGCCTAAATGTCGGATCATAATGCGTGATTGGCTTTCCGAGAAGCGTGTGACCTGTGTAATGGCATCGAACAGATCGCCACCTAAAAAAAAATATAACATTTACCGATGTTTTGAGGATATTTCGCGTGAAATAGAGATGGAGGAACAGCGAACTGGTGGACTGGTTCACTTAAGGATTCGGTTTTTGCACTTACCACTGACATACTCGAGCACCAGGTACATGTTTGTCACCTGATCGACGTCCATGATGAGCGATATTATATGGGGATGCTGCAGCTTTTTCATGACACGCACTTCGGCATCTATGTAGTGCTCCTTGCCCTTGCACTTGCTCTTGTCAATGATCTTGAGGGCATATGGCAAGCCCGTCTGTCGATCCTTGATCTTTAGCACAATGGCAAAGTTGCCATCGCCAATCATTTTGCCCAGTGTGTAATTGTCTCGTATAGCGACGGGCAGATCGCCAATCTCAACGCCCGTATTCCTAAGTAGTGTCGCCTGGTCGTCCTCCTCTGAGGTGGCAGATTCGCCGGCTTCTCGCGCTCGTGCGGTCTCGGCCGGATAAACCTTTTTGTTTTTAACCGGCATCTTGGGCTTGGGTCCCTTGCATGTAGTGCCCGCTGTGCGCAGTGTCTTGCGTATGGCATTGATGGCGCGCTGCTCATCTGCTTCCAATTTGAAATCCTCGGCGGTATTCACACGCTCCGTACCATACGCAAAGAAGACATCCTCCGGCCCAAAGAAATCCGCCAGTTGCGTCACGGATGCCCCAGACAGTCTGAACACCTTGCGTACATAGCCCGTATCCAGGCGCACCACTTGCGTTATGGCGGTCAGAACATGCTCGAAGCTGGGACTGTTCCGCTTGTTCAACAGCAGTCGCATTATCCGGCGTGGCTTCGTACCATTCCTTATCAGCGTCACAATTCGCGGATGCACTGCACTATCTCCCCCATTGGCCGCAGGTGCATTGTTGCTGCCCGTGCTGTTGACCAGTGCTCCATTCTTAAGCGGCGAGACGGGACGCTGCAGCTTGGCCAGACGCTGATTGGTGGATCGACTGTTGTTCGCCAGCGTCAAATTGGCCAAAGGCTGTGAGCTGGTATTATACTCCACCTTCTTGAAGTTCTCGTTATTGCAGGAACACACGTAGCTCTGGCCATCCTCTAGCTCTTCCAGGGCGGTGATCTGTTTGATTAAAAAAAAAACATTTAAGATTGGAGATTGTTCTATGAGATTCTAAGCGCAGCTATAGAAGGGGCTGATCTTGCCCAAAACATATTGAGGTCCGCATAGTTAGACTCATATATATTTATATATAGAACGGATGAACGGACTGAAGATATGGTATATATATTCTATATTTGAATGCAATTTATAATTGAATATGAAAAGTTGACTTACTTTCTTGCCGGACATATTGTAGATGGCACGCACAGCACCCGGAATTTTGACATTCTCTTCGAGGAGGCGCGTCAGATCCTCGTAGAGGCTCTCAAAGGAACGATAGCGCTCATTGGACACGGGTATGGTGATGCCCGGATAGAAGCGATCACCGTTGCGATAGAATTTAATGCGATGCGCCTTGCGTGTGGGCGTGCGGCTGCTCGAGATGCGTTTCTTAGGATGGGTGGCATTAAGGGCGCCCACCGGCTGCTGGCCGCTGCCATTCGTTGCCGGAGTCGTGGAACCGACTCCATTGGAGCCCGGTGCCGCCGAATTGGTGGATGAGTTGCCGCTAAGCGAACCATTTGATTTGCCAACGCTGCCACTGCCCGTTAGCGAGCCGTTCAATTCACGCAGCTCATTGAAGTCCTTCTCCAGCTCCGAGTTGGAGCTGGCCGGACTCACACAGTCGCGACTGTGCTCTCGCTCCTGCTCCTGCTGCTGCTGCTGCTTGCTCAACTGCTCGAGGATGGCGACTTCTGTTGTGGGCTTCTTGGCCGAGGCGCCGCCCGCCTTGGCAGCCGTCTTCCTGGGCGTCGAGTTCGGGCTGGCGGGATTGCTGCCTTGTTGCAGTGAGGACAGCAGCGCGGCCGTGCTGTGCAGATTGTTTACCGCCTGAACTTCCATGCTGAAAGAGTGCGAGTGATAGAGAGAGAAAGAGAGGGAGAGGAAAGGATCAGATTTTGGAATACTTTAGCTGCGGCTTTCTCAATTTACAGATTGGCGGTAATTCGATTGCGTCGTCGCTTTGTATGCTTTATTCTTAATATTGTATATTTATATTTGCTCCGCATCATATTTTTTGCCTGGATTTTGTTAATATTTCCTTTGCTGCTGTCTCATGTGTGCTTATGGGAAATGTTTCTCTATTGCAACAACAACACTGACTACTGTATTAGCTATATTAAATGCTGTTGACGTTTCTAGCAAAAACAACAATAACTCTAAACAGTAAACAGAAATCAGAAGCTTAAAAAGTCAAAACCGGTTTCAATGGCTCCGCTTTGTTCGGACTAGAAAGTATCTGATGGATACACAGACACACACACACACACACACACATATGCATACATACAGCAGAATGCCAGCTGTAATTGCGCTAATTTACGTAAATTGTTTGCAACCACATATTTTCCATTCAACTGCTCGCTTTGCTGCCTCGCTGACTTTCTGCACTAGATTCCAACGATGACCCCACGACGTTGACCGATTTACCGTTAAGAACAACAACAACAACAACAGAAATGCTGACAACACAGACTTGAAGCCGGGTCAGGCCAACAGTTCCTGATGACGCCATGCCGGCTGCAAAAGAGGACCCGAAAGAGGCTCAGCCACACGACACGACACACCTAGAACATTAATGGACGTCTCCCATGTCCGTATCCGTGCGAGTCGTTGTGCTCACTTAGTTAAAGGAGACGCCAAGTTGCATCAACTCAGAGTGTTTGGGCCTCAAAACATATTAGAAATGAAAAATAGGAACAGCCTTTACCATCTTAGACTAATTAAACAGAGTTCAAGCGTTGTTAGAACTTGACCTCTAAGTTGATAGTGCTTTAGTAACAGAATATAAATTAATAACAATATTTAATTTAATAATAATTAATTTATGCCTTGCGTGTTTCATTGTTAATAATTCGGAATATCAGTAGATTTTCACTCATTAATTTTTTTAATGCTGGATTTTTTAATAATTAATTTGTTTTTTAGTTTTTCTATAATATTTTATAATTATGAAAAAGATATAAATTTAAAAAATAATAAAAGGAGGATTATCGTCTTAATGTCTGCTGATATTTACTTTGGCCCTTTCATTTTGCCGCCATTTATGGATCTCAAAGAGTTGGGGTGCTTGAGATGGGGCATTTTATAACTAGCTGTCACGCTATATAGTTGTAAGGGCCATCAGAAATCTGTTCGACTGTCAAGTTCATTTAGGCTCTGGCGCGTTCCACACATGCCACACTCCACATTCCACATGCCACATTCCCGACATTCGACATTCCACGTCACAGTCTGTGCAAATTATTGAAATTGTTGTCATTAAGCGATCATTGCCAATTGAATTCCCGCTTTGCCCTGCCCTTCCCCCTCCGAATTTATCCATTAACTATAATGTTTGTGCCATCCTTGCGCATAACCGTTCAATGAGTCAGCCGCCCCCTGCCGTCCGTCTGCCCCTCCTCTACAACCGACTGAACGTGGGTTATGTCAGAGTGTAGCCCATCGTGTGTCTAACTGCCTCTCACTCACACACACGCATCGCCTGTAAGTAGACGTTGTTGCCTCTCTTTCACTCACCCGCACCACTGGCCGCTGATTGAAGCTCGTTTATGATTTTTTTTTGTTTTTTTTTTTTTTATATTTTTTATCATAATTTTTATTCTTCACAGGCACGTTTCACTTGGCCATTGTCTGCCCATCGTGGAAAGCTGTCTGAATTTAAGTTTTGAATAAATACCCTTACGCTGGCTACAATGACTTTATCATGAATTTTGTCATGCATATCCGTGTTTTATTATTTTTTACTCTTAACAATGAAATGAAATCAATGGACATAGGGAAATACAAGCTGTCGGAACTGCAGTTGTCAGCTGTAATTGCAATATTGTTTTTTTGAATTTTGTCTCGCATATGTTTTGTTTAGTTAAAGATAGCGACGGTGACATATCCGCTAAATAAGTATTGAAAACATTAAGACAATAAAGACTCTATTCAATGATATAGGTACTACAGTTATTGTGGAATATCGAACGATTCTAATTTACAGTTCATACAAAGACGAGCTGCATCTGGTGTTGGGTTCAGGGTATCCCCCAGTCGGGAGCTTCCGACTAGAGCCTCTTACTTGTTTATATAATAGGCAGATAAGGATTCAAAACTTATTTAATTTTAGGGATTTTTTTCTTAGAAAGGCCGAAAATTTACATAGACAAAATATGATCAAAAAATAGTTTAAAACTAGTTTGCGCAATGCACTCCCAAATATGGCATAAGAAATTTTAGATGAAATAAATTAAGAATTCATTTTAAAGAACAAATATAAATATTTTAATTTTTTTTTTCAGATGCATTTGCTGCATGAAGATATTTCAAACTGAGAAGCTGTAAAGAGTATCAGGTCTTCGGTGTGCTGTGTTCTTCTTCTTGTTTTCACTTGGCTGTTGTTTTATACACAAGACGTGTGTTGGGCTTTACTCACCCTCCCTCCCCCCCGCTGCCAGCGCAACCCTCGCCGCACTTTAAGCTTGATCGACGCTTTTGGAGGGGATTCGCATGTCGGGCCATAAATCTGAATAACGATATTTTTGTTGTTGTTGTATTTGTGTTGCCGTGGCATGTTGCGGCAACATACAAGCCTGCCTTTCTCTCTGCCGCAAATGAAATGTTATGCCTGGCCTGGAGTTATGAGCGCTCCATTGCCTCATTACCAGGTGCTGTTATGACGCCACCTTTGGTGGCCATATTGAGGCGTGTCTAGGACGGGACTAGCCAGCGCCCTAAGCCGGACAGGTAATTAAGCTAATTAATGTCGCGCCAGCCAAATGCCAGCCAATCCTCAAAGGAGGCAGGCAAATAGGTTGTCGTCATCTTTATTAGTGCCAATTGTGGTGAAATTTGCCGTGTGTACTTGTTATTCTAGCGCAGATTCAGCCAATGAATGCGCTTGCCAAGTGGGTCAGAATTGCTGGCCAAGCAAGTGCAGCAGTTCCCAAGTTCCATCGAGCATGACACTTGGCATTTTGTTTGGCTGTTGCTCAGACGACCAAATCAAAAAACCATTTGACCTTTTTCAACGTGTCTACGTCTGTGTGTGTGTGTGTGTGTGTGTGTGTGTGTGTGTGTGTGTGTGTGTGTGTGTGTGTGTGTGTGTGTGTGTGTGTGTGTGTGTGTGTGTGTGTGTGTGTGTGTGTGTGTGTGTGTGTGTGTGTGTGGTTGCTAGGCTAGAAGAACAAAAAATCAAGCCAAAATGGAAGCCAAACGATGACATTTGCGAATGCAATGGAAAAACTATGACAATCCCAATGTCACCCACATTAGGGGTGTGCATGGTGTGAACAAACAAAAAGAAAGCCAATTTGGCCTAATTCGTGCGATCAAACTGTCAAGCTTGAGAATCGCAAATAACTTGACACAATCAGTTTTTATCAGCTTTAATTGAAAACTTTCATTAAAAACTATAAAATTATTATCAATTCGCTAAACATTTGTGCTTTTTAAGTGCTGTCATAATTGGCAGATAAGAGCGCACAGATTCAAGAACTTAAGGTAAAAGGATGGCTAGATTGTTCATGCAATTAGTTCTACGATTTAATGAAACCTTTCAAATATTTAGGCTAAAAAAATAGGCCCTTTACTACCTACTACCTAATTAATTGCAGTTTATAGCAGCTGGCATTATAATTGTTGGCTTATTTCGTATAATAGAATTAATGATGGCCAAGGCTAAAGTAACTTTTATAATCGAAAAGCATGACTTCAAAAAATACCTGCTTTCTTAGACTTCATAGGAGGTCATGAAGAAAGAGAACTTCACATGTACGATAATATTATTATGGTTTGTACAACTGTTCCGGACAAGCTACACTACCTGATCGGACAATGGAACACGATCTTCTGAGATCTACCGCCTTGTACAGTTCAATTTGAGCTATTTGCACTAAAATGTATTCAATAAAGTAAATTTAACCATTTTTGTGTACATATCCCTATGTCAATATAATGAAATAATAACGACAATCGTAACTACGTCAAACCAAAAATCGATAAGCCGCCGGGCCACAGGAAATATGTGCGTTGGCGTTGAGCCGATGGCTCTTCCCGTTAATGTTGTTGTTGTCATTGTCATTGTTGTTGTTGTTGTGAATGTTGTTTGTTGTTTTTGTTGTATCGGTTGCCCACGCAGACAAGAGCACCCCACACCACACACCAGACACGACACGGAGAGCGAATCTATCCAAGCCAATTCCCAGTCTAAAAATGAGCTGAGCATAGAGCTAGAAAATTGCATTAATAATTGCATGTAACTTGTTAAGAGAATCAAAAATATATATAATGAGAATTGCCCTAAATGGGCATTACGAATCAAAGCATTAAATAGGGAAAGAAGCGAAAGAGAGAGACAGAGAGAGAGAGAGGAAGCGAGTGGGCTTTTTGTCAGGGCAGGGCAGGTCTTTGAACATTGAACAGGTGCGCCCAAACAACGCCGTGTGTCTCCGGTTGTTGCACCCAAAAACAAAACAAGCTAAGCAAAAAACTAAAACCACAACACACACAGAGACAACAGGCAAGACAAACAAAAAAAAAAACATTATAAAAGTTATGGCACATCGAGCATGAGCTTTTCTTCTTCATGTTGTTGTTGTTGTTGCCAATTTTTCATAGTTCATAAAAGTTGCTTAATTAAGATTTACACGCACTCAAGCGTCAAATTAATGGGCCACAACCAAAAAAGAACAAAGTAGAGAATAAATTGTGACCGGGTAAATGAAAATGCCACGCAATCGAATAGATTTACAAATGATAATACATTATAAAAAAAAAAAACATATATAAAATCGAAATAAAACATAAGCTAGAGAACGAACATTATTGAAATTATATTATATTATATGTTAATAAAAATATATTTACATATATTAATAAAAAACTATTATACTTGCATTTTAGAGCTTAGACAAATCATTCAATAGAAAATTCCAACATAACTTTTATTTGTTTTAGTACGTTCGACAGTTTTGTTTTCGGTTTCAAAGATAATGCTATCAAAAATCTTAAGTTCAAAGCAAACACGTTGCGTGACGTGAGTTGAACCCCAATAAACACTTAAAAATCTCCGGAATTTATCGGTACAAATGTGAAAATTCTTATTTAAATGAGACATAGTTGTAACGTGTTACACGTTAAGAACATTACGTTAAAGCCGTTACGTACAACGTAACGCGTGTTACGTAGCGAATTATCGTTATATATTTCACGAGAGGTTCAAGTCATTTAATTCAGTTTCTGATCTAATATCGAACATAAAAAATGGCACCCAAATGAACCATAAGAACGTGTAAGAGCATTTTTTAGTTCTGTTTAATATTTATATTAAATAGATATAGATATGGCAACTATTTCTTAGGATTTTTTAGAGTAGCCACAATTCTACGCTCTAGCCAACGATAAATTAATTAATAGAAAAAGCAAGGCAAAAAAGAAGAAAATAGACAAACGTTAAAAAATGTGTGTGAACTGTGAAAAGACAGGACACATTGGAACGAACCCAGGTAATTGTCATGAAAATGAGGCACCGCTAAATTGTTGAGAGAGCCGCAAACGTGTTTAGTTTGCTGATTAGGCCAGGAAAAAAAGATATATAGAAACAACAAAACAACAAGCAGGCCAGGCAGCCGGAGGCGTATGCTAACCCAAAGCACAACGTGACAGTTGCCCTTGGCAATGGCGGGCGAAAAGATACACCCAGACAGCTCACAGTTGCGACAGCTGTGGGAGGGAGGGCCCGGAAAGGGGCCGGAGCTGGCTGCTGGCAGCTGGGGAATGCGTGTCCTTTGTCGTCGGCGTCCAACTCCCCAATGCGCCATGTGCTCAAGTGGCGTCGACACTTCAACTTCGGCATTAAATGCGGAACTGAAGCCAGAGCGAAAGTTGCCGGGCACAAAGGAACCAATTTGTTGGATAACAGACACAGAACACATTTGGATGCACTCCGCAAACGTTGCCAGCTGCCAAGATGTACAAGATTTATTAACGCTTCTTTCGTCTGAACAACAGCAGCAACCCTCGCCGTCTGGCTGCCGGCTCAAGGGCCAAGGGTTAAAAGCCGCACAGAAAGCACCCACATACACACACAAACACACACACACACACACAGGTACATCACAAAGAAAAACAGCCAAAAGCTAATGCTTGTCCGTATTAGAGAAACACCTGACACAGCCCAAAAGCGCGCACACACAGACACATTTCCGATAAAGAGGATGGTAAAAAGTATCTATATCATTTGCATTTTAATTAGTTTCTGGCAATATAGAATTATTAGCAGTTTGCTATACTAAATGTTTTAAGGCAGCAGAGAGCTAGACAACCAATTTATATACGTAACTGAAAAACAAACTGTGGGGGCATATCTTGGTTCTAGATTCTAATCGCATAGAAGGGCGTTCTGTGCGAATATGTAAAGGAGAACCAGTTGGAAGCACATAAAGCGAAACTGAAAAAAATACTAAAACATATACCTGGGCTTTGAAGATCGCATAGAAGGGCGATGTGCTGCACTTTGCTTAACTTAACTTTTCGTTTCGAACGACTGCTTCAAAAATTCGTTCACTTTTTTGCCTTAAAAATTCTCTTGCTTTTTTGCCAATAATACCATCATGTAAAAAGTAAAAGTTGAACTCTGCGGCCACCGCCTTCAAGCGCACAATGGACGAACAAGTCTTTGCACTCTAGAAGGCGAAGTGGGTGTCGCCTTGTGGTCCTCGGGGTGCGCCTAACTGCCATGTGACAGTTTTCACTTGGTTCAACAACTGAAAACTTGCCATGTCGCCTACAATACTGCAACAGAGACAACATCCAACGCAACTTGCAAGTTGGCGTCGTTGTGCAGATTGCAAAAGTGTCCTTGAACTTTGCGTCAAGTTGTTGAGCCGGTTTGCTTGTCCTCTTCTTGCTTGCTCTTATTAGCTATATTTCCACTTTTCTTAGCATTGTTGAATTATGTTTTTTCTTATGTTACCAGACGAGCGAAACACATACTTTTCAAATAATAAAGCTAAAATAATACTAAGTTCTTTAATAATCCCATAATAATCGAAATGCTGCGGCGATATGAAGATATTGACAAATGTCAAGAAGTTTACAGTCCACCAAGTTTAGACAGTTAACATTTGTGTGTATGTAAATGCTAAGCATATTAAATGTAAATTAACATTAAAATATGTTGATTTAACATTATGTTAACTTTATGGAAATGTTGCACAAATGTTGCTGCAAAGTGAAAATTTTGATATCGCATGTTGCCAAACACTAAATGAAACTATGCCAAATAGGCATAAAAAGGGAATTGGAAAAAAGTGCGTGCCTGTTCATCATCTAAGCTTTTTGCTCATTGCCATTGTTTTTGCTGTTGCTGTTTTTTGTTGCTGGCGTGACCTATTAAATAAATGAAAATCGATTTGGCAGCTTTTCATGTTTAATTCATTAGCAGACGAATGCGCACGGCAAATGAATACATTTCCAGTTCCCAATTCCCAATTCCCAGTTTCAGTTCCACAGCAAGGTCGTCAAAAGTGGCAAATAATGTTGTACACTTGAGTGAGGCCAAAAATAAAGGCAGATTAGACTTATGTTTGTTGTATTTGTTCAATTTCGTCTGTGTGTGTGTGAGAGAGAGAGAGAGAGTTTTGAGATAAGCTAACAGAATATGTTTGAAGAGTGGGGAGAACGGAAGCAGAATGCGCTAGAGAGATTGCAAGGGAGAGCGGAGCAAGCGATGTCAAACAAGCGTTTGACAAGGTCTGGCACGATGGTCTTCTGTTCAAGATCAAACTGATACTCCCAGCGCCATACTTCAGCATCCTTAGCTCCTTTCTGGCAGGACGCACCTTTAAAGTGGCCGTTAAAGACCAAAGGTCGGCAATTAAGGGCATCAGAGCAGGTGTCCCACAAGGCAGCGTCCTCGGTCCGATGCTGTACACGCTGTATACGGCGGACCTGCCCACACAAGGACAAAGCAATGAAGACCTCAGCCCTGCGAGACTGCTGGTGGCAACATATGCGGACGACACTGCCTTCCTAGCCTCCCACAAAAATCTGCAAGCTGCTACAAGTGCAGTGCAGGACTGGCTGCTGCAGATCGAAACCTGGACAGCTATGTGGAACATCGCTATAAACTGTGCCAAGTCCGCCTGCGTCACTTTTACGCTGCGCCCATACAGCTGCCAGGGGCTACGGTTCGATGGACGAACCATTGAGCAGACCAACTCTTTCTGCTACTTGGGTGTCCACCTGGATCGAAGGCTCATATGGGGGCCTCACATCGCAGCAACGAGAGCAAAATGCCTGAGAAGACTTCAAAAGCTCGATTGGCTACTAAAGCCTCAAAGCAAGCTGCACATATCCACGAAGACACTGCTTATCAAAACGATGGTAACGCCTATCTGGACATATGCGATCCAAGTTTGGGGCACGGCATCAGCACACCAGCTCCGTCGCATAAGAGTGGTCCAAGCCAAGGCAGCACGCAAGGTTGCTGGCCTGCCATGGTACGTAACAACAGACGCCATCGAACGCGATCTCCGCCTAACAAAGGTCGGAGATCAGCTCAACTTCTTCAGCAGCCGATACTCCGACAAATTGGTGCAGCATCCGAACGCGGCCGCAAGGGCCCTGGCTGAGCCCATCAGTGAGAGGCGCCTCCGAAGGCTACACCCCGACGACCTACCAACGAGGCACATCACTTAAACATCCCTTTCCCATTATTGTTATATATTTTTAAGTCTGTAATTATCATTTAAGTTATTAAATAATAACTATACACTATACCCTTAACTCCGCTTGGTAGAGATCAGAAGGCACTGATCGATTCCAGCGCAAAATAAACCAAATTAAGTTTAAAAAAAAAAAAAAAAAAAAAAAAAGAAGCTGATGTTGCTTCAGTACCCCCTCGCCCCGCATTCAGCAAATACCATCAACTTGTTATCAGTAACTATTTGGTGTATCTATTTATAGAAAGGAAAATGCAGTTGCGATTATGATCAACACATGGAATTCGTTTGTATATATCAGAGATTATGATTTTAAATTATAAATAATAGAATTGTGACATATGTTTAACACAATAATTAACAAGGCAGCAAATCGAACCCAAGCCACAAAAAAACAGCCCAACGTAATCGAACACCTTTAAGAAATCCTAGCCCTGCGATATGAATATCATTTTTTTTAATCCTATTTGTCAGATGCCAATTTTGGGTAGAGCTCAAATTTAGTTAACATATTTTGAATATAAATAAACTCTACATCTAGAAAGTTCAGGTAGTTGACTTTGTTGATCCAAGCGAAATGGCTTTTTTCAATTAAAAAAGTCACTAAGCGGAACTTGTTAGCTGATGCTACCTGTTATCAATATTTGCCTACACCAGCTAAATAAATATAAGCAATATGACGAAACTCATTTCGACGATGTTTAAAAAAATAAATGGCAATATCGATAAGGGAAATTCAACTGTTAAAAGCAGTGGCAAAAGTTTTCAAGTAATTCCTGTTCCCAGCTCTTGTAGAATTTCTAATTTAGCCCAACTCAGCTGGTTAACAATCACATCAGCTTGCTGGCCACTTTCTTTTACGCTGCTTTTGAAAACTTTCCAAGCAAAACAGGGGAGCTAAACCGTAAATTGTTGCATAACATTTGCGATGCGATCTTAGGTTGGCAAAATCGGCTAACTAACTAAATAAGCCCATTGCATTGGGTTTACTTCAAACCAAAAACTCTTGAACCAAATACAGTGAAAGTTGACACGTGGTGAACAGCCGAGTGATGTGTGTGGTCCTATGCAACATGAGCGACAGCTGAAAAGGGCTTTAGAAAATATATGTACACTGCGAGAAAAACACGGTATGGAATAGCATTCATAATTATTAAAGTATTAACTTCGTTTCTTCTTCATTTCTTAGATTAACTACTGTAATTGAGTGTCGTATTCTTTTGTTTGCAGTTGTTTTTAGGTTTTGCAATTTGAGCACATAAATCTCGGTAATTTCTCTAAGTGTATTAGCTCGCACATAAACTAAAACCGTCGCAATTCATTGAAATTTGAAGTTTTAAGGCTCAACAGAGCTTTGTGTACAGCTTTGTGTGGAGCAAAAAAAATAACGCCGCACCATTTGCCGTTAAAACCGAAAAACAATCAATGCTAAATGTCGCGTCAGTTTTGCATTGTTTATTGCTGTTTTGTTTCTCTTGTTTTAGCTTTTGATACTCGTTTTAATGCACGGCTCAAGTGCCCGTCGAGCTTAACGCTTTGTCACTGTTTTTCTTATGTTTTCTTTCAAGCTATATAGACTGAAGGAGCGGCGAGGTGCCGAATTCAGTTGCGGCTTGGCGACAGCCATTGAACTGCCTGCCGCGGTCAGTGACGTCATGCGGTCTGTGATGTTAAGTGTTGCAAAAGTTTTTATACTTTTTAGCATGTTGCAGCACTCAACAACAATGGGATGAATGAGCAACTCCTTAAACTAGGTCTCTAACAGTGCTGTTAAGTTTACAATTGAGTGGAAGCATGGTAGCAGAGACAGAGAGAGACAGACTCTGCTGCTGAGTGAGGTCTGATCTGACTAAAGAAGAATAACAAATATAGAATATCCATCTCTATATATATGCAGTTTTTGCAAAAATTAACATTTAACAATCAATATGTGTATAAATATATATGTCAGTTAAGCAACTCCCACGTGGCGAGCGCATTTGTTGCTCGACTTAATATTGCTTTTTTTTATAGCCCACACGCTTGCGTGACACATTTTACCAGACTCTTCGTCTCGCCCCCTCTCTTCGATGTCTGGTAATCTGATCTTCAAGTCCCGTCGTCATCAGCTGGCGTCAGCAAGCAAACAGTTAGCTAATTTTTCACAGTACAATTATTTATGGTTATTTTGCAGCATCTGTCGGTTTTATGCTAAACCGCAAAGCCACAAGTCACATGGAAAATATGTTGCTAGGCACATGCATGTTGCTAACTGATCATTTTGTTTAGCTACATACACAAACGCGTACATGTTGCTGGCAAGATGCCAATTTTAGTTTGCCGTTTTATGACGTCATAGTTGGCGTGTGAGCAACGTAGGTGTTTTATAAGCAATTATGTGTGTTTTATTTTTGTTGTATTTTGTTGTTTATTTTGTTTTGCTTATTATTTTTGATTGCTTTTCACTTTTCGCAATCATTGCGCTGTCATTTTTAATTGACTGTTTCGATTATTTGGGGGCTCCGT